AACCTGTAATTGTTCTAACAAACCGAGTGCGGCGAGAAGGGAGACGAGAGAGCAAATAAAAACACAGCGATTTGAAAAGCAAAGATATCCCAACCCAGGCGGAATGAATGCAAGGCGTGCGCCCGCATCACATCGACCTCGTTACAGTTTTATTTTTCAATAATTCTGTCCGATAAAATTTCATTGTCCATTAAGTAATCCCCGAAATGAGAGCTCTTATGAGCCTATAATGAGCTCTAATTGCCACGACTAGTCGAGCCACGTGGAAGGATTTAGAAGGTATTAAGCGGTTGGGTACAGAGCGCGGGCTGTTACCTTGCCATTACTTTCATAATTCAAGGAGAAAATTAGTCCTTTTAAGGGAAAATCCTTTGATTCCCTTCATTCTGCTCGGGGTGACAGAGTATAGCTTTGTCTGCTTTTAGTTCAAGACAGTGTAACAAATGGGAATGTAACAAAATTGCCCCCCTTTTAAAAAACTTTTTTTTAAGCCAGCGCTGTTCAAAAAGAACATCAGAGACAACACACACACACACACACACACACACACACACACACCACCCCCTCTCTCTGCCTTTCTTCCCTGCAACTTTTAGGATTGGAGACGTGTGTAGTCCTAGTCGTGTTTTGCTATCAAACAATGGAAGCTTGGTTTGGGCTTGCTTTTTATTTTATTTTAAAGTATCCAAAATACACCGCCTCTATGCATAAATAAAGAATTCTGAAACCCAGTTTACAGGCGTGTTTGCTTATCACGGCGCTTCGCAAAGCGATCGGAGCAACAACATAACCCTGGACTAGTAGCTCACTTGAATGAAACGAGGCTTTTTTCGAAGCAAGTATACAGTCCTAAATGCACGTAGTGGACAGAAGTAAGGACCATTGAACTCAATGGTGCTTACTTCTGAATGAATAAACATACGTAGGAGATTCCTGTCCATGGGCTGAGGAGTGGCAAGCCAACATGATCCTAGATTTAGTCTTCCAGAAGAATTCCCGAAGCCCATGGGATTAAGCTGGAGCAACCGTGCCTCACTTCCCCACGACGCTGGAGGTCCGAATCATGCCTGTTCAGAAGTAAAATACTCTGAGATCCAACAGGCCTTACTTTCCCTGGTACATTTGGAGAGGATGGCAGTATTGTGCGTAAATATTCAATGGGGTTTCGAGCGAGCATAGATTAATAGCTCCCCCCTTGATCGCGGTTGCAATTTACTTCCGAGTAAGAGGGCTGTTCTTTCTTTGTAAGGTTTGGGTACCCCACCCCGCTGCCAATCTTTTCAAATCAATTATACTCAAAATACCCTTCTTCCTCTGTTCAGTTTCCAAGTCCTACTTGTGGGATCGATCCTCGCTATAGAAGTTCCCTTGTGGTCCCGTTGAGCCCAACCTGTTAGGCTCTCCATCGCCTTAGAAGCGCATCTAACTCTGCATTTGAGAAAACCACAGAATGGGAATTCCCATTATGCGCACTTAAGACTCTCTGGGTGGGTGTCTCCCTTTTAGAGTTGGCGAGGAGTTTTTGAAAGCCCAGGGAACTACATTATAAGCCCTCGGATCCTTTACAGGTTTGAGGGTGAGGGAGATTTCTAACGTCGCCCGAAGGATTTCAGTGACTTTGCGAAACTCTCCAGTTTCCAAATGCAAAGTGTGCGCTCATCTCAGTCCCGGAAACCCAAGCTGCTCTCAAGGCAAAACCTGATGCGCCCTACCCACCCATTGCTCGCTGGTTTGGAACGGCAAAGAGGACCATTGCGTGAGTCCGAGAAGAATCTAAGCTTTCCTTTTCACGTTATCTTTCGCTTTCCTCGAAAAGTTCCCAAAGCAAGCGCTGGGGTGTGTGTGTGTGTGTGTGTGTGTGTGTGTGTGTGTGTGTGTAAGCAAAGGCAAACAGAAGCCGGGGCTTGCCCCAGCTCCCCTTAATGAGGCCATTCTAAAAGCGTGAACAAGCCTATGAATGTTTTATTGAAAGCGCATCGTTAACTTGTATCCATCCTTTTTCTCCCGAGCGTGGCATTGTGATATTCCTGCCTGTGGCACATCTTACCCAATATAGCCCCAGATCTCTCCATTCTCCGTAACCAAGCAACACTTTCTGAATACCAAAAATTGAAAAGAACCGCTTAGTCTTCAAGAAAGTCCTCAATAATAGTGGGGAAAAGAACAAAGATCCAGGAGACAACAAAATGCCACAGGGGTGACTTTTCAAGAGCAATTATCTCTCATTAATCAGAAGAACAGCTGCAATATTAATTTTCTCGCTTTCTTCCTCTCTTTTCAAAGTCTTCTCTCTCCCCCCCACCTGCCCCCACCTCCCAATATTTGAATAATCATAAATTTTGACTTCATAGAGAAGCAACATTTTTAGAGGCTGAAAGGTACAAGACCGTCATCCCGGAGGGAACAGTTGGTTAGTTTAATGTTGCCAAGGATTTGGGCGGGGAGTGGGGACGGGGGGGGAGAATCCTAATCTCTGCCCCCTTTTTATTTTCCTTTGCACCCCAGCCTCCCCCCCCCCCTCCAGCCTCCACTGGTTCACTTCTGGAAACTTTAAACTCACTCTCTCTCACGGAAATTGTAGCGAATTGTCCCAGTGGGTTCAAGCAAGCGTGGGAGTTTCGACAGCCCCGCTGTCCATTTCATTCGCAGCCCTTGATGCAGAAGCCGAGCGTTTTGTCGATCAGACCGAAGAGACAATCTTGGGGCGTAACGCGCTTTGTAGCACATCAAAAGGCCCACTGCATTAGAGGAACTAAGAAGTTCATTCAGCAGAAAGCGGAGCAAGAGGTCCTCCCCCCCCATCTTTTCCCCCTTATTATTATTTTCAAAAAAAGACTTTGTAAAGATCCTGATTGTTAGTAAGGATGGGTTGCTGGAGGTGGGTGGAAAAACAAGTTTTCTCCCCACCGCACCATAAAGAGACAACATGCATCAACACTTCTCTCTCTCAATCACACACACACCATTCACACTCACACACCAGCGCTTTCCAAACTTAATCTACATGATTTAGGACAGCAATGGCCTTCCAGAGCTTATCGGACTCCATTTCCCATTATCCCCTGCCAGCATGGCCAACGATCAAGGATGATGGGAGGTGTAGTCCAATAACACTGAGCCGGCCACAGGTCCCCCTTGCTAAGATGTATAAGACTGAATCAGATAAGTGCTGGAGATGCAGTGAGACCGAGGGTACATTCTGTCATATGTTGTGGACCTGTAAAAGGGTAAAAGAGAATTGGGAAATAATTCACAATGAATTGAAAAAAGTACTTCCCCCCAAAAAACCAGAGAGGCGTTTTTGTTGGGGATAATTCAGACGGAAATTCCCAGGTGTCAAAAACGGTTCCAGTGGTACCTCGGGTTAAGTACTTAATTCGTTCTGGAGGTCCGTTCTGAACCTGTAACTGTTCTTAACCTGAGGTACCACTTTAGCTAATGGGGCCTCCTGCTGCCGCCGCGCTGCCGCTGCACGATTTCTGTTCTCATCCTGAAGCAAAGTTCTTAACCTGAGGTACTATTTCTGGGTTAGTGGAGTCTGTAACCTGAAGTGTTTGTAACCTGAAGCGTCTGTAACCCGAGGTATCACTGTATTTATGTATGCCACTACTGCAGCCCGTGTTTCATTAGCCCAAAATGGAAAACGAGCGAGGTCCCAACCAAAGAAGAGTGGCAGCTTAAGTTGACAGAATATGCGCAGCTTACAGATTTAACATATAGAATAAGAGAACAAGAAGAACATACGTTTAAAGAAGATTGAAAAATGTTTATTGAATATATGGGAGGAAATTGTGTGCACTTGAAAACGTGGGCAGCATAAAGATAAATTCAACAGTGTAAATAAGTTTTGATGGATGTAATAATGAAATACTGAATGGTTTGGTTTATATAAAATATGCATATGTTATGCAAAATGAACCATGGAAAGAGAAGAAGGGAAGTCAATGATATTTTAAGGTTGTTTAAATGAATATTCTAAAATGTAAAGCAGACAATTAAATAAAAGTTATGGAGGAAGAAGGGGGGCACAGGTCCCCCCCCCCCATCCACTTATCCCCTGGGGAAAATAGCTACAGAAAAAGGAACTGGAGAACTGGGCCCAAACTAACAAATTGAATAGGGACAAATGTAAGGTTCTGTACTTAGGCCCGAAGAACCAGCTGCACAAATATAAGACGGTGGAGCACCTGGCTTACTAGTAGTACATGTGGAAAGGATCTAGGGGTCTGTGTGGATCACAAACTTAATGAGTTAACAGTGTGATACAGCAGCAAAAACAAAAAAAGAGGAAATGCCAGTCTAGGCGTGGCAAGAATGCCATTTTGCGCAAGAGGGGAGAGGGAAGAAAAGCGAGGTGTCCTGCTGTGTGCATGCATACTCAATTTATTTATTTGCAGTTCAGAATGCACCAGCAGCCATGGGCATAGCCAAGGGGGACCAGCAGTGACGTAGCTAGCCAGGGGGCAGGGCAAGCTGTCCATGGGGCACGGCGAACCAGGCAGGGCACGCTGTGTGGAGCTGAAGCCTGTATGTATAGCATCTGCTCTGCCTGCATCAGCTGCAGGGCGGCTGAGGGGGAGGTGGTGGGTGGATGCGAGCCCCAGGCCTCCTTTTTGGGTGGTGCGGTGCCTGCAGGCACCTGAGCCACTGTGTCACTACCAGGAGAGATCCGTGGCTCGGGAGCACTACAGGTCCCCCAGGGTAAGTGCCACCCATATTGTGAGTGGCCTCCCAGTGCGCCCCTCCCCGCAGCCCCCTAGCTATGCTAGTGAGGGGCAGGGGATGGCTACCTCCCAAATCAATAAAAATCAATACAGTGGTACCTCAGGTTTTAATTCGTTCTAGAGGTCCATTCTTTTTTCTTTTCTGGGTTTAAATGAGTTTTTTTAATTTTAGACAGCCTACATGACAAGTTTTTTAAAACCAATGCTTCCACTCCAATTAATTCAGGGTCAAAATAAATCAAGATGGCATCAGTCCAGTTTTCAAACAATGCTGAGTCATGATGTTTTGTTGATGAATAAAGAACAGCAGCCAATTATGATGATATTTGATCCAGAAGGGTTGGTCTCTTGTAAACATTTCTCCATTTCTAATCCCTCCTTAAAGAAAACCATATAAGGAGTGATACCATCCTCACGGAAATCCAGTAATGCCACCATTCCATCTGGATTCATGTTCTCGCCTACAAAAAATTGGTAATTTTTGAAGTTTGCAAGGATATGTTTGACTTGTTCAGCTTCTCCAGTCATAAACGGCTTTACTCTCTCTAGCTTTGTTTCCTCAAGTCTTGCTTTGATTGCTTTCATGTAGTTCTTGATGTACTTCTTGTAAGACTCTTTAGTGAAGCTTGTTTCCTGAAGGTGGTGGTTCATTACAATGTCAACACCGGTGACAACAGTAGCCTCTGCCCCTTCACCATCTGGATCTTCAGCCAACGCATTTCCACCAATTAAAGCATCATCTATTTCACCTTCTTTCCTGCTCACCATCTTCCCTTCCACTTCCAGGCAGAGTCTGCTGGCCACTTCTTTGACCTTGTAGATGTCCGAGAACATCTCGTCTTGGCTGATGCAGTCCCGGTAGATGATCATGGCTGTGGCGTCGTCGGGTGGTGGTGGGTCGAGTGGGCGGGCAGACGGGAGGCCTCGGGGAGCGGAGCGGCTGGTCAGCGACTCCCAGCGAGAGCAAGGAGCGAGGCGGAGAAAAAGCTGGAGGTCCATTCTTAACCTGAAACTGTTCTTAACCTTAGGTACTACTTTAGCTAATGGGGCCTCCCGCTGCTGCCACACCGCCGCCACACAATTTCTGTTCTCATCCTGAAGCAAAGTTGTTAACCCAAGGTACTATTTCTGGGTTAGCGGAGTCCGTAAGCTGAAGCATCTGTAACCCAAGGTACCACTGTACAAATCTGAGGCTCTGCCCCCTCTGACAAAAGCCTGCCCTCCTTAACAAAAATCCTGGCTACTCCCAAGTCAGCAGCTGCACCCACCCACCCATGGGGACAGAGCTTGCTCTTCCATGAGGCAATGGGAGCCCAATAAGGTGTGCTGTTTGGTGAGACATTTTGTGGCAGCAGATTGCCTCTCCAGCAAGGGAAGTGAGCTAGGACCCTGGTCCAGATCTGCTGTCCCTCTCATTCTGCCACTGACATACCCTCCTCCTCTTGGCTTATTATAGCACTGGCCCTGTTGACTTGGCAGCTCCAGGAAGTAATTAATGCCCCATTAAGAAAGGGAGTGGTTCCAATTACCTTCTGAAGCTAGTAGTGGTGCCGTTGCTCCTTAAAATGGCCGCCATGGACCCACACAATCTCAAAAATACTCAGATATACTCAAGTGAGTGGTGGCTGTCCAATTCTGGACTCACTTGCATGAGGCAGATGATCTAAAACTGAATCATTGTGGTTATGGCACAGAAACAACCTCATGGGTGACCTCCATTGGAGTAGTACAGGGGAGTGTGACCCTGTCAATTCCCATTGGCTGTGGTATCTTTCTGGGCTCACTCTGTCAGCTGGGAGAACAGTCATATTGTGGTTTCCCTCACAGGGCTCTTTTCAGAAGGTGGTGCTAGGGGGCTTCTATTTGGCCCCTTGCTGAGGTACTGAAAAGTTCCATCTTGTCCCTTACGTGCAGACACATCCTGTCAAGCACCACCCCCTTGTGTGGATGGGAAACACTGAGACAGGGTTCAGCTGAAAGCACTTGTGTGAATGCACATGGAAAAATGAGATCTGTACAACTCATGTACACATTAGTGTGTGCACAGCTGTTTGAATGTGCATCTCCCATGTTCCTATTTAAAGGGGAACATTCCCCCAAATTGCAATGTCTTCACAATGGGTGGGTGTGGTTTTATTGTGTGATTGTAATTTTGATTTATATAAGCTACCTTACATGATACAAAAGCATAAAAAGGTAGGGTGATACCCCCCCTTGAAAATAAGTAAGGATGGGGAAATTGTTTGTGTCTAATTGCACCAGACTTCAGCTTGAGCAATAATTTAAAATGTATTTGGGTATGTGTAGAACAGGGGCCAGCAACCTTTTCCAGCCATGGGCCAGTCCACCATCCCTCAGACCATGTGGTGGACCAGACTATACTTTTTGGGGGAAAATGAATGAATTCCTATGCCCCACAAATAACCCAGAGATGCATTTTAAATAAAGGCACACATTCTACTCATGTAAAAACACCAGGCAGGCCCCACAAATAACCCAGAGGTGCATTTTAAATAAAAGGACACATTCTACTCATGTAAAAACACGCTGATTCCTGGACTGTCCACGGGCCGGATTGAGAAGGTGATTGGGCCGCATCCGGCCCCCAAGCCTTAGGTTGCCTACCCCTGGTGTAGAACGTCCATCTGAATAGCCACACAGTGGACCGCCATTTCAAAATGAGGATTGAAAAAGCTTATTTTCTCCCACCCTCCACTTTATGGAAATTAAGCCCCATTATGGTAGCTATAAGTCCTACATTATCACTCGGGGTGCGGCTAGGTGATAATAGGGAGAAAGGGTTGTCCTCCTTTAGGTGGAAATGTATATACTTTGCTTACTTCAAAAGGTGGTTGTTCTCCAAAAGTCTTGCTGCATCTGGGGGGCACCTCTTCACCATTCTGTTAGCAGTGGAGGGTGAATGTATCTCTGCAACACAAGGCTCTGCCTGTCCTCAGCCAGCTCCCCACTGTTTCTTACACCTTCCTCCTGCTTAGTTTCAGTGTTGCCCTTGTAGACCTCAGCAAAGGAGAGGATGACTCCACTTACTGTTGGTCCCCCAATGGGCACCAGCCAACACTGCTGTTGTGTAGGACCTTGGACTCTACCTCCAAGTCCTGCCCTGATAGCACCAGTGGGTTTCATAACCTATTCAGTCCAGAGGGCTGAATGCAGAGGGCAAGTCTAATTTATAAAGTGAGTGACACACACTGCTGAAAAGGCTGTGAAGCAGTTGGGATTTACTTTCTCTTATAGTGGGAGTGCCATATTTAATAAATGTAAAAAAAACAACTATTCAAACTATTAGGAAGAACCCAAAACCAGCACTGTTATCAATTTCTGAAGGAGAAAATGAAGACCTTGCACAAAGAAGATGCTGATTTACTTGTTGGTAGTAATTAAAGAAAGATTTTCATTCTATTCCACTTTTTTGTATCTCAAGTTATGGAGACTAGTATGAAATATAGGCATTCCGGAGAACCTGGTATTGAAAATTTCAAGAGGCTAAAGGACAATAAAATGCAGTAGAGTTTGAAGGAAATTTATTGTTTTGTGAACAGGACAGGAAAAGGAACAACTGGACACATCTGGATTTATATGGATCGCTATGGCAAAAGGCAAGACTGTATGCCGGTGGTATATTGCTTACTAGCTGAAAAGAAAAAAAGACCCAATTAATTTATATCACATTTGTTTGGACTTTGTGCATGTAATTTGGATGTACTGTATGTTGTAGTTAAACTATGGAACATTGGCTTGAAAATTAATAAAGTATATTTTAAAATAAATCTATAAAAAAGCTAGATTTCCATATGTGTAGAATAATTTTATTTGCTGCCTTTGGAAAGAAGGTGTTCATTAGTGAACTGAAATGGCTTAGATTAAAAGACTGCAGGTATGTTTGTATTTCTAAACATTAACAGACAATTAAGAAAGCCCATGAAAAAAATAATAGATGGGAATGTTTTGACAGTTTTGAAACTAGCTGTCTTTTGTTATTTTCTCTCGATCAAAATTTGCTACAATAATTAATGGAAAAGATGTTAAGATATTATAACTTATCATAGTGATTTGACAGGCAAATTCATTGGGGGAATGCATAGTTATGGGCTTTTCCAGCTGACAGGAGCTATGTATGCTAAAATGAACATACTTTTTCTTTCCTTTTTTAAGAAAAGGCATTCAGTACATTGACATGTGCTACATCAATAGTTTCCTTTGAACTATTTAGGCAGCCTTTGTTACTTAGAGGCAAATATTTTTTGTTATATGCAGGAAAAACAAGACATCTGGGGGCACCTAGTAGCTGCTGAGGTGAAAGAAAGATGCTCCCACAGTCCTATTCCATGCACAGAATCCAACCACGCTGCTGATGGGACAGCTTTCTCCAATGCACTTGGGGGCAGCAGTCTAGTTTGGCAAGGAAAGGGAAGGTTGTATACTATACACAATGTTATCGTCCAATACCAGTGCCGGTAGAAAAATAGGTGCCGGTACTTACCATGAAGTTGTTACTGTCTCAGTTTTTAACAAAAAAGGTGTGCTGGTACTGTGTACCCCTGAGTACCCCCTGAAAAAAGCACCTTGCTGCCTCTCCTTACCCCCAGTCATTTACCACCTGAAGTAGCTGCCTGTTTACCTCAACTTTGACCATCCAAACGTTGCCAAGCTAAACTCCCATCACCCCCTGACCATGCTTGCTAGTGTTGATCAGATGAGGTGTGGTTCAGCAACATCTGGAGGGCCAAAGGTTCCCCACACCTGCTCTCCCTAATGGTAGGGCTGGCCTTGCAGGTGCGGTAGAAAATCAGTGCAGAGAAGGGAAAGGGAATGCACACATTCCTCTCCAGTCTTGATCTACATTTGGGGGAGTGTGTGTGGGCTCCTGCAGCTGCTTTTGCTTAATAAACAACAACAGTGGCCAGCTGTAAGCAGGCACATCAAAGCATGCACTTAACATAATATGTAGTAAATGAATTATAATTATAATCATTTCAGGCAAACCTCACTGTCGGGGAAACCAGTTCCCTCAGCCTCACCTGTATAAACACAAGCTTAGGTATCTGCGCTTCTTTAATTTTCCGCTGCCACCAGTTTACTCAGAATCCTTTCAAAACCTCCTCATAGCTGGTACAGTAGGCTATGGTGTGAGATGGACACCAGGAAGAATTTAAATAAGATTGTTGGTTTATTAAAAGGATACTATTTATACAAGGAAATGCTGCTCTGTATATTGGGGTCTTAAAGGTGCTACAATTCCCCTCCTGAAGATTTATTAGTTAGTGTTAGAGATGGAATTTTATTTTTTATTTTTAAAAGATTTTTAAATTGAATTTTACAATTTAATCAGCATAATCCATTAACATAAGTCACATAAGAAAATAAGCATACATCCCTTCTCCCCCCACCCATAGACTTCCCTCAGTATTAGAGATGGACTTTTAGACAGGCACCCTATACAGGTGTTCTCTATTTAACCAACTGTAAATGCCTAATATTTAAGGAGTGATGATCACAAACAAAGAAGGCAAGATTACAGTTGTCTTATATTAGGAGGAAAGTATAAAACAAATGACCTCACACATTCCTTGTTTTAATGAAGGACTGAGAGAAAGAGAAAAGTCTATGAAATGCTCAAAAGCATCCAAGTGTTTTTCTTGGCAGACTAGAATGCGGAACACAAGAAGTTCCTTAAGTCCGGCATGTTACAAATTCTTTCCGGATTAAGGGGTTCTACCCTCAATAATGAGTTGTATCATGTGGTCCTTCAGAGTAGCATCCAGCTGCACCCATCCATGGTTTTAGCAGTCATTAAGCTAGAAGGCCTGATTCTTTATAATGCTTTTATAATTATGGTTTGAAGAAGGGGCTATTTATCCCTTGTTTTCTGACTCTGTCCCTCCCCAATTCATTGTAAATAATGTATTTCCTATTGGTATTAATCATATGATACTTGCAGACAAAAGGCCATAGAGGAAAAACTGATCATGAAATCCAAACCACTGAAATAAAAAGGAGACTTTTTGTTTGTTTAAATGTTTTTGGACTGCACTATCATATAAAACAACACAAGGAGTGTTGATTGGGAATGAAAACACCACTTTATGTTTTCACTCTGCTTCCATATATGTTCACTCAAAAGTAAGTTCTACTGCATTCAGTTGGTCTTACTCCCAGGAAGTAAGCACCCACCTTGGCAGTCCTATTTTTACTCTGTAGTATGCTGTTGTGTGACTTGCTCTCCAATGAGTGTGCATAGCATTGTTAGCTGTGCAACCTGATTCTATGCACATGTTTGCTGAGAAACAAGCCCCAGTGTCAAATGTGGTTTTCTCTCCATCAAGTGTGGTTTAGATAGCAGTCTTAAATGCTGTTTGACATTTAGTTCCATCCAGCTGAATGTTACTTGCTTCTGGACAAACCTGGTTAGGGAGCTGGGATTGCAGTGTGAGGTTGCAAACCTAAACTAGCTAGCTACTCGGAAGTAAATCTTATTGACAGCAACTACATCTACACCCATACTACCCTTAACATGCCCGATCTTAAGCTGACGTATTTTTCTGTATATAAGGTGAGCCCATGTATAAGACAACCCTTATTTTTTGGAACTCAAAATGAAGAAATCAGTATTTCTAGAGTTGTTGAGCTTTTTTCTTGGGGTGGGGGGTTAGCCAAAGTTGTTGAGCTTTTCTCTCTTTGTCTCTGTATGCCAAGTTAGGAATCCTCTCCAAATGCATGTGTTTGATAGGGCGCGTGGAAGGTCATGTATTTAAGCTCTGGGTGACCAAGCACAGAGAGATCTACAAATTAATGTGTACATGTGTGCACGTGCGACAAATTCCAGAGGGGCCGTCCTGTTAGGCTGCAATAGACTGTTACTGATTGCTCTGAAGTCACTTCAGCAAGAGATTGGGGGGGGGAATCGCCGCCCCCCCAACCTCTTATTTTGCCAGAACAAAAGTGGCTACCCTAGAGACCCACCACATGAATGGGCTTCCAGCTGCAAGGCTAAGACTTGCCACCCAGCTCAGGCATATGTTTCATTTGTTGACCAATGAGAAGTTCCAACGAGTCCCCTGGGCCTCCTTTCCCCCTAGCACCCAAGGCTTCGTAGCCCAGGCCGACACACTAAACAAGCCGACCGATCCGGCTTCAGGCGACGCCTCTTCCCCTCCCAAGATGGCACCCGGGAGGCCGACTTCCTCCCTCCAGCCAGCAGCTAGCAGCCGCGCGGCCGCCGTTGGCCGCACCTCTATTCAAAACAGCAGCGCGAGCGCGGCGCGTGCGCTTCGGGGGCCTCCGCGTCGGCCTCGCTGTCTCAGGCCGGCGTGCGTGCGCTCGCTCCCTCGCTCTCGCGCGTGCTCCTACGAGAGCGCCGCGCGGCGAGGAAAGGGGCGGGGCTTGGCGCCCTCGGCTTCCCAGTCAGTGGCTGCCGCGGCGCCGGAGAGCGGATGTTGTTATTGTTGTTGTTCCTGTCCGTCTCTCTCTTCCCCCTCCCCGGGACCATGACGGGCGCTTCCTCCCGGCGGCCCTGAGAGGGAAAAGCTTCGGTGGCCAATTCGCTCGGAGCTTCGGAGGCGGCGGCGGCCCAAGAAGCGGCGGCTACTGCTGCTCTTGGCTCTCTCTCTCCTTTTCTCATTCCCGGCCTCTTCTTCTTCTGCTTCTTCTTCTTCCTCTTCCTCGCGGCCCGGCCTGGCCCGGCCATGGCGGACTTCGACGAGATCTACGAAGAAGAGGAGGACGAGGAGCGGGCCTTGGAGGAGCAGCTGCTCAAGCACTCGCCGGACCCGGTGGTGGTGCGCGGCTCCGGCCATGTCACTGTGTAAGGAAGGGAGGAAGCAGGGAGACGTGGGAGCGAGGTGGGCGAAGAGGGATGGAGGGCGGCGAGAAGAGGAAACGAGGAGCTGCTTCTGCAGGGCCCAACTGGCACCTTCCTGTCGAGGCACCTCTGACCTTCCGCGGGGGATTTCTGCAGTCCAGTTTCGTTGCAACCCTTCCGCCTTCAAAGCCTGCTGAAAGTACACATCCCGCTTAGGGTTGCAGCAACTCTTTGTGTGTGTATATATATATATAAGCTGCTATGCCGTCTCTGCAAGCTTTTGCAGCAGCCCTGTAAGATAGGCCTGTTTTCTTCGTGTTGCAAATGGGGTGGGGTCTGAAGCTGGTTGGTTTTTTAGGGCCCTTAGATAAGCCGAGGTAAGATTCGAATTCAGGCCTGTCTGTCTCACATTTCCTTAGCTGCTGTGCTACCACAGTGTAGTGGCGTGCATATATATATATATATTACTTGTTTTGTTCTTGCTTTAGCTTTGTGAGGTAGGTCATCATGAAGGAAGGAAGGATGAACTGAGAGGTAAAGGAATTGTGCTTCTGCAATCCACTCAGTGGATCCAGATGTGAAGCAGGACTGCTTTTGCTCCTCGTCAGAATAGTTTTGGTGTATTGTCCAAGGTCATGATAAAGTAATGTAAAGTGTTATAGTACTTCTGAACAATATCCTTAGAATAAGGGTTTTCAGCTGTCTTGCTCTTTCCTCTACTCACCTTTCAGAGGTTTGTGTTTATTATCCAGGCTCTTTTCTCTTCACGTTGTTTAACAGTTAAAAACCCAAATAGCTCAGTTGGTTAGAGTGCGGTGCTGATAATGCCAAGGTTGCAGGTTCGGCCCCACAGCTGCATAGTCCTGCATTACACGGGGTTGGATCCTCAGGGTCCCTTCCAACTGCATGATTCTATGATCCAGTGTGCTCCATCTAGGATTTGCTAGGAGCTCCAGCTCTTCCTGTGCCCCTCCCCCATGTATTTAGATGCATAGAGTAGATAAATGAGATTGATTCAACCCATCATTTAAAATTTGGTCCATATTCTTATATTCATTTGTTTATATACTTTCAGCCCTGTTCATCAAGCTGTGTGAATGTCAGGCAGCTTTAAGCTTTCCAACCTATTCATGCTTTTTGCTCTTCTGTCTCTATGGACCTAGAAGTGCAGCTGGCAGGTCAGGTGCTCTGTTGTGGAATAGTCTGTTATGAAGAATTATGTATGTCTAGGGAAGTTTAATGTCATTTTGTGCTTGTCACAAGTTTGGACATAGACTTCCCTGTTTTGGGAGATCCCAAAATGTCTGTGCATACTCACAGATGTAATTGTATCCCCTAGTGCTAAGGGATGTGATCTCAGGTCCATTATTGCTATGCTTGTAGGGCATACTCCACTTTTTACTAGCATTCCATACAAACACAATTCGTCATTGGGTCAATAGGGAAACTAAGCTAATGAGATTCATTATGACTAATAGCAGAATGTGAAGTACTAAACCAAATAATGATGACATGTCAGGAAGTAGAACACTTGGGATTTGGATAAGTGTGTGTTTTTATACATGACCAGCTGTGCTATAGATGAATGTAAGTTGTTAATGCTTCTATTAGTCATAGTCTCAACCTACACGTATAATAACATGTTTCAGCTTTCTGCCAAGTAGTTATGATGTGAAAAACTCCCCTTAAAATACAGCAGTTAACAAAAATGACAGGCATGTCTAGAGCACTATGAGTGCATTTATAGTACAGTATATGATCTGGGTCACTTACTTTGCTGTTTTCTAAACTAGATCTCATTTCATATTATAAGGGTTGCAAATTCTATAGCTTTCTGTGAATGAGCCCCATTGAGCTCAGTGAAGTTTACTTCTGACGAAACAAGTTTAGGATTACACTGAGTATGCAGTCCTGTGTTCCTGACATGGAGTATTTCCAGGATGTTGAGGGATATAGCCAGTAGTACAAACAAGTAATGCTACTTGAAATGGATTGATTTAAATCACCTTGAGAATGATTAATTTAAATTAATTATTTAAATGAAGTTTCCCATGCTGTCATTCCTGAATGTGTGTGTATACTAGTTGGTTGGTTAATGATGATCAAAATACTTTGATCATGCAGCCCGCATACATTTATACTACATTTTTCTTTTCAGCTATGGTTGGTGGTGGGTAGAATTGCAAAACTTAATGGCTTTCTGTTTGGCTCTCTGTATGTATTCAGGGACATTAATGTATGTCTTAATATCTCTCTCAGAGAATTTCTGTCCTAACAATTAAATGGAAAACAACTAAAAATCAAATTGAAAAGCAAAATGAAGACAGAACAGTGAAAAGGAAACAATCCATAAAAACAAGTAGGAATCTTTAATAAGTCAGGTAGACTACCTGCTGGAATAAAAATGTATTAAGGTCAAGAAGGACACCAGAGCCACTGAGAAGGCTCACTCATGCATCTCTGTCAAACAAGTGTATCATAGATGGAGGCAGGATGTGCAAAAGGGCCTCTTTCCTTTGATCTCAAAAAGATTGGCAAGGCCAAACAAAACTAAAAAGGTTATTTAGGTATTCTGGTCCTAAACCATTCAGGGTTTCTAATGTAATGACCAGCATTTTGAATTGATCCTGATATGAATTGGTAGGCAGTGCCTCTAGAGGAACAAAAGGAACCAATTGCTTTAGAGTCAGAATCCTTGCTACAGTTTTTTGTATCAACAGAAGTTTCCAGATGCTCTTCAAAGGCAGTCCCATGTAAAGTGCATCAACAGTAGTCCAGTTATGTGATAACTAAGGCATGTTTTATCATGTGTCTCTAGACTGGTGCACCAGTTGCACCTGTTTCATATGTTCAGCTGCCATCTCAACTTCCAATATCAAGGCCAGGCCAAGGAGGTCTCTCTCTTACTGTAGACCTGATAGCATAACCTCCATGCAAAACAAGCTGAACTGTCACTCCTTGATCTGTGTTTTGTGTTGTCTGGATTAAACTTCAATTTGTCAATCCACATCCAGTCCTTTACTGATCTTAGACACTTGTTTAGAACCTTTACAGTTTCCCTAGGGTAAGAAGGAAAGGAGCAGGCAAATGGAATATCATCAAAATATTCATGGCATCAAACTTCTGATGTTTAGATTATCTTCCCTCATGACAGTCTTCTGGTTTGGTTGGAGAACCTGAGAACCTGAACACGCTGTAGAATTTGGCTAGTTATTGAGAAATTCAAGATCACCAAGCTTAAGTGGATGATTGTGGTGAGATACAGGATACCTGAATACTATCTCTTTTAAAAGCTTGTCACTTCTTTGGTTCAAGAGGGATATGGCCTATTTTATATTTATAATATCTGACCTCAGATGTCAGATTCTCCCCCTCATCCCAGTTTATTGCTCTTACGTAAACAATTTTTTCTTTTTTAATGCCAGTTAAAAGGATATTAGTTTCAGTTTGAAATATGTATGTTTTAACACATTGGTATTAAATTTAGATTTCATAGTAAACCAGTTACTGTTAGAGAGACTTTCTACAATGAAAATTAAATTAATCAATTATCCATCATGTTGCTATTGATCCTTTTATTTATCACTTCTATACCATGTTTAATTAAGTGTGATATTGTGCTCACCCTTACAACTTTTAATGTTATGATTCACATTGTACAGATGAGGAATTGAGGTTGCACAATGAATTAAGGGCTAGAATGGCCCTTGAAGTTAGACCTCCTGGATTTATTGCATTCCACTGGCCCTGCTAGCTAGTACTGGTCTAGATACCCTAAAAAGACTGTCTAGTGGTTTGAGAATTATTTCTAATAAGAACGTAAGAGCCAAAGGCCTATCTAGTCCAGTATCCTGTTTTCTCAGTGTCTGAGCAGATGCTTGTGGGAAGCCAAGCAGGATTTGAGCACAAGAGCATTCTCTCTTCTTGTGAGTTCCAGCAGCTGGTTATTCAGAAGCATTGCTTCTTCCACCTGTGGAGGCAGAGCCTAGCCGTCATGACTAATAGCCAGTGATAGCTCTCTCCTCCATGAAATTGTCTAATCCTTTTTTAATAGAATTCTAGTCAGAAGTATAGTCCACTTAGGGGTCATCTGTCTAATTAAAGGTCTTTTTGATCATTATAGGTCTATTCCATAGTTTGCAGTTGAGGTCACGTGTAGGCACATTTGCTTACAGCAGCCTTTGCCAACTTGGTGACCTCCAGATTTTTGGACTACAACTCTCATCAGCTCTAACCAACATGGCCATTCCAGCTGGAGCTGATGGGAATTGTAGTTCAAAACAGCTAGAGAATATCAGGTTAGTGAAGGCTGGCTTACAGACTAAGCTTATGCTTGCCATTTGGATTTGCTTTAGGGAAGTTGTGTAGTGTGGTATGATAATGCTAGTTTAGCAGTATCTATGGCTATATCAGTTCGGTGATCAAATATATGTCTGCAAATTTACCTTCAAGGATTTGCATAGCTTAGTGTCTATTTGTGTCCGCATAACTGAACTGATATAATAGCAAAGTGAAGAATGCTGATCACTTGATTTTAATTGTATCTGTATATCTTTGGTTTGCATTTTATGGTCCTACTGTACATTGCCTTGAAACTTCTGCATAACAGATTGTATATCAAAATCTTAATGATAAGTAATAGCAACCTAAATAAATATACTCCTTTGTCTTTTTTTTTAAAAAAAATCCCTACTATAAAATGACAAAGACACATTAAATGTTAATATTAACATTTATGTAGTCTCAGGACTATGCTTGGCCGTCTTTAAAACATAGAAATGATCTGATCCCTAGCAGAGAGTTTACAAAGTGCATTGAGAACAAAAATAATAAACAATCCATTGCTGTATTGTTTGAATTTCTTTAAGGTGGCTCGTTTTGGAGGTTGCTGTTGTTACAGAATATAGCTTTTGTCTCAGGAGGGATTCTGGCCTTCGGGAATATCTTCCTGCATGATCTACACCAGCTGATAATACACCATCAGAGTATCTTCTGGAGCTGTACTGCTGATTCTGTTTTAGCTTCCGTATACGGTGCCCAATAATCTGCATGCCTAGGAGACCTAGTATAAAAGTGCACTGTTTTAGGAAATTCCAGAGAAGTAACTATGCTAGTCTCTCCCTGATTACAACAAACATGCACAAAGGTCTTTTAGCACTGAAAACTTGGAGGGGGAACACTGTACAGTAGTACCTTGGGTTAAGTACTTAATTCATTCTGGAGGTCCGTTCTTAACCTGAAACTGTTCTTAAACTGAAGCACCACTTTAGTTAATGGGGCCTCCCACTGCTTCATCTTGAAGCAAAGTTCTTAACCCGAGGTATTATTTCTGGGTTAGCGGAGTCTGTAACCTGAAGCGTATGTAACCCGAGGTACCACTGTATTCCCTTGAGGATAATCTGTCAGCTGCATGCTGCTAGTAGGCAGTGCTTCCCATTTCCTCTCTCTGCTTCTGCCACACCTTCTATGCTGTTGCACGGCCTGGAAAACATGTGTCCTGGGTTTTGCACTGGGACATGTTGCAGGGTATGGTGGCACCATTCACATAACACAAACTACCACAGAGGTATCATGGGTTGGCTTTTGAAAAACAGGGTGTTTGCAGTACTTAGCTGATTCAGAACCACTGGCTTAGTGGATTGTGGGTTGTGGGGCAGATGACTCTTCTCAGATGTCCAAAGAGGTAGCTTGCAGAGAGCTTTTGATATTCGGCCAGGAGATGCAGATTGTACATGCCTGGCCTAAAGTATTAGCAGATTGTGGCATAGAAGTTTCATAGACGAGAGCCTCCTACATCAGATGAATGGAGTCCTCAAGTTGCCAGAGAGATTTATTTCATGAAATTTATACACTGCTTGGTTGTAAAACAACAACAACAACCTCAAAGCGCTTTACAAAAAGATATGTGGATTTAGAGGACCATTTAATGGACATTTGACCCCACTGTTCAAAGTGACTGTTCAAAACAGCAGTAATAGCAATAACCCAAACATGCTAATTTAACAGCTATAGTGGAAGGGGAAAGCTTGATCAGTAAGCAGAACACTTTTTTTCCAGCACAGGTGTGCAAATAGCATAGGCAAGCTAAGAAGATTGTGTTATTTCCTCTGATGTTCACTTCATCGATGATGTGGACTCTAATCCACAAAAGTTTATGCCACAAGAAAATCTGTTAGCTTTCAACAATACACTACTCTTTGTTTTTCCTAGCCATTCCAGTAGAGCAATTAGATTAGATTAGAAAATGGTTAATTAAGGTATGGAATGTTGCTCAGTTGACCTAATTGACAAACATAATAAGTGTTAGGTAATTATACAATTTAAAAGGAATAACTAGCATATTTTATTTTAAATCAGGCTGAATGCTTTTGCAAAACATGCATTTAATATTTATATAACATTCATTTACAGCCTGAATTTTTATGTTTATTGTATCATAACTTTGAATCTGTTTAATATTTCTATACTTAGGACAGGATAGTTTTCTCTTTTAGAGCATATGTCTTTCATATAAAATAAAGATTTTGTAACAACACTTTAATGTGGAGGGAAGAGCAGGACTTGGCCAGTGGGTCAGCTCCTTATCTCTTTCCCCTCTCTGCAGGTGAACTTTGAAAGGTTGATGGGACCAACTGCCTGTCATTTACCTCATGTCACAATGACATCAGGTAACCCGTTTCCCTTTGCCTCATGGTTTGAAATCTTTGGAAGCATTGATGATTAGCTGGTTGCTGATACCTCAAAGCGCTACCATGGGGCTTGCTGTAGACTGATCAGCACTGACAGAAACCCCCACCCCCATCTGCACTAATAATTTCCTTCCAAAGCATCAATATTTTATAATATAGTACATGCTATGACTTAGTTTTAGATCACAGTTCTTTTCAGACATGAGTTTACCAAACACATCTGTCATATCATTTAAAACACTGGTAACTCGCAGTATCATGCATTGTTTCAGGATATATAGTTAATTCCAGTGTTAAATCAGCATTGAGACTTGGCTCTTCTATCAACTTGTCTAAAATTGAGCATGTTTCAACACTGTTTTCAAACAGACTTTTGTTTGTAGGACCAATTCCACAAGACATTCAGTGAAAATTGCAACATGGATAAGTTTGTAACATGAATAAGCATCAACAGAAGTATAGTGGCCAGATCAAGGGAAGTAATAGTACCACTTTTTTCTGCCTTAGTTACCCATTTCTGGGCACCACAATTTAAGCAGGATACAGTGGTGCCCCGCAAGACGAATGCCTCGCAAGACGGAAAAACCGCTAGATGAAAGGGTTTTCCGTTTTGGAGTTGCTTCGCAGGACGAATTCCCCTATGGGCTTGCTTCGCAAGACGAAAATGTCTTGCGAGTCTTGATTTTTTTTTCCGCTTTTCCCCCCCTTTATCTAATCTGCTAAGCCTTTAATAGCCTTTAATAGCCTTTTAGCAGCTAATCCCTAAGCCTTTAAGCCTTTAATAGCCGCTAAACCGCTAATAGCGCTAATAGCGCTAATCCGTCAATGGGCTTGCTTCGCAAGACGAAAAAACCGCTAGACGAAGACTCTCGCGGAACGGATTAATTTCGTCTTGCGAGGCACCACTGTATTGACAGGCTGGAATATGTGCAGAGGAAGTCGACCAAAATGATCACGGGTCTAGAAAACAAGGCTTATGAGCAATGGTTGAGGAAGTTGTGTAAGTTAAGCCTGGAAAAGTGGAGTCTGAGAGGAGATAGGATAACCATCTTCAAATATCTCAAGGGTTGTCACATGGAAGATGGCGCAAACTTGTTTTCTCCTCCAGAGGGTAAGACCCAAACCAATGACTTCAAGATACAAGGAAGGAGATTCCGACTAAACATCAGAAGGAACCTTCTGACAGAGCTGTTTGACTGTGGAAGGGAAGGTGGTAGAATATCCTTCCTTGGAGGTTTTTAAGCAGAGGTTGGATCTGTCATGGATACTTTTGTTGAAATTCCTGCATTGCATGGGGTTGATGGCCCTTGGAGTTCCTTCCAACTACTGCAGTTGTATGATCTGGGATGCTGTCTTTGGGCAGTAGGACCCCTTTGTGCCTGCCAAGGGCTTCCCACCCCTCCCAATTTTAATTGCTTGTTGGGTGGCATGCTTTCTTTTTTTGCTGGTATTCTGTTTGAGGATGGGGTGGGATAGTTGTTTTGCCTTTTTGTCAAGAGATTAGCTTGCATAGGTATTGCTGCTAACAGCTGTATTTGGAAGCAGCCATTATAGTTCATTTACCTGACTTTCTTCCCAACACTATCATGCTTGAAATCTTTCTGGAGGAATGTCTTCTGAAGAGACTCAACTTGGTTCCAGTGATCACATGAACACTATTTATGAGGACTGGTGTTGGCTCAGGAGCCAAATACAGATGGTTTTTCAATACAGAATTCCTTTTGTTAATCTTAGAGGGTTTGCAAGGGTAACCTCCATGGGACTCTTCCAGGCTACAGCTCTGTCCAGGCAACAGCTTTCAACAGCCTTGTTCCATGCTTTCCTCAAGGGCTTTTGCCTGGCTGGAATGTTTCCTTGAATTGTGTTCATATTTCTTGCTTGCTCAGATAGAAGATAGAGAAAAGTGTGTGGAGTTTGGGTATAGAAACCTCTTATTTTTGTGAAGGTGGAGCATAGCTTGCCGTACAAAGGTAAAAGTCACACCTGTTGCTTCAATCACCACAGACATATGACTTTCACCTCTGCTTTGAAAAAACCTGAAATTTTCTTTCTACTAGAAGTGATTCTAGGGTGGTCCAGCGCATAGCCCGAGGGCCACATGTGTCCTTCAAAGCCTTTTTGGGCAGCCCTTGGAAACATTTGACACCCCTACCATTTATTGTGCTGTCTTACCCAAGCTGGGTAAGTGTAATACTGGGCTTTAGGAAGGAGGCATGAGGGCTCTGACAGGGTCTCCCACCTCCTTCCCAAAGCATAGTTAGTGCTTTCCCAGCTTTAGGAAGGAGGTGGGAGGGCTCCAGGACCCTGACAGCGCCTTTTGCCTCCTTTCCAAAGCCCAGTGCTTTGCTTAGCCAGTTTTGGGATGGCAGTGTGAGAGCTGGACTGGGTTGTGTCAAATTTTGACACATTCCCTCTGCGTGACAAGGTGGCATGTGGTTTACGGGTTCCATGTCTAAGTACTCTTGTGGCCCATTTTGTAGTTGGATCCCCCTATTCTAGAGGGTTTGTGTGGGAAGGAGGAGAAATTTGCCCTTAGGGAAGTTTTTAATGACTGATGTTTTTAAATATATTTTTAACCTTCTTTTGGAAGCCGCCCAGAGTGGCTGGGGAAACCTAGCCAGATGGGCGGGGTAGAAATAATAAATTATTATTATTGTTATTGTTATTTTTATTCTTATTATAAAATGTAGTAGAGTGGACTCATTTCCTGGAATGTGTGATTATTCTTTTTTACAGAACAACTCTGGTAAAGTTAGTTGTACTAGGGAAATCAATGAGTGAAATCAGCAGGACTTGAATTTTTCACATTGATTTCTATATGACCTAAGTGTAACTAACTTATAAGGCAATATAGGCATGTCTTCTCAGAAGCAAATCCCATTGAGTTCAGTGGGGCTTACTCTCAGTTAGGCAGGTATAGGTTTACAGCCTTATTACAGCTCCCTTCCTGTGGAATGCCCCCCCCCCCCAGATGTCAAGGAGATAAAGAACTACCGTATTTTTCGCCCTATAGGGCGCACCGGCCCATAGGACGCACCTCGTTTTTTGGGGGGGAAATGAATAAAAAAAATTTATTCCCCCCCCCAGCCGCCGGGCTGGGGCCGGGGGAACCCCAGAACAGGCTGCTATCCGCAAGCCTTCCGGAGGGCGCCCCGTGCTTTGGGCTTCAGGCTGCTGCCTGCAAGCCTTGCGAGCCCGGCGGCAACTCCCGCCGGGCGCACAAGGCTTGCGGACACCTGCGCGAAGCACGGGGCGCCCTCCGGAGGGCATCCTGTGCTTCGTGCTGCAGGCTGCTGCCCGCAAGCCTTGTGAGCCCGGCGGCAACTCCCACCGGGCGCGCAAGGCTTGCGGATAGCTTCCTGAAGCCTGGAGAGTGAGAGGGGTCGGTGCGCCCCCCTGTATTTTGGAGGGGAAAAAGTGCGTCCTGTAGGGCGAAAAATACGGTATGTAACTTTTAGAAGACATCTGAAGGCAGCCCTGTATCGGAAAGTTTTAAATGTTTGATATTTTACTATGTTTTACATATGCTGTAAGCTGCCCAACGTGGCTGGGGAAACCCAGCCAGATGGGCGGAGTATAAATAATAAAATTATATTGTTATTGTTATTATTATTCTGGACCCATCCCCTTATTTTTCTGCCTCAAGGCATGAATAATTCACATGAGGCAATAACTATGAATTCTTCAAATGGTGGTAATATAGCACTTGTGTGTACTGAGTGATAATAGCTATTAAGGTTTCACCTTGACAAGTTTGTTGTTGAAATGGCAGCACATATAGAAGTGTGGACCTCTCAGTCATGCATCCTTGATTTTCCTTCAAAGGGAACTTTGTGTTGATCCTCTAAGCTGCTGCGGTAGAGAATAAATGTTTTTAAAATAGGGCAGCCTCAGATGCGACACTAGTGGGGTAGCATGTATTGTGTGCTGTCACTGCCCTCAGTTGTAGCATTTTTTTAAGTTGCTGGATAAATGCAACTTGTCTATGCAAGAGAGCTTTGGAATGCTGGACATAATAGAAAAGACCTTGGAGTGAAAAGGAAGGGTACTTTGTGTATGTGAGTGAGCATTCTGCAAGCATAGATACTTCTTGGCTGCTGGCAAATGTGCCTCTTTCTACAAATGGAAATTTGTTAAAGTATGAGAACAGGAAACTTGCTTCTTATCTGTCTTTACTTGTTCTTGTTGGAGTTCTAGCTGTGATGATGGATTTATTTAAATCAGATTTCCTGTCTTGTAAATTGGGCATTTGCTGAATAAATGTGCCTCATTGGTTGCTGTCATAATTAAAACACACTGATATGCAGCTAAGTAATGCTTATATGCAGAATACCTAGGAGCATAAAAGACTTAGTGAAAGAAATACAACTATCAAATTGTTTGGGTTTCTGCATGTCAGGACACTATTCAATACAGTGCTACCTCTGGTTAGGAACTTAATACGTTCCGGAGGTCCGTTCTTAACCTGAAACTGTTCTTAACCTGAGGTATCACTTTAGCTAATGGGGCCTCCCGCTGCTGCCGTGCGATTTCTGTTCTCATCCTGAAGCAAAGTTCTTAACCCAAGGTACTACTTCCGGGTTAGTGGAGACTGTAACCTGAAGTGTTTATAACCCAAGGTACCACTGTATCACTTATTTGAACAAATAGACCATAGAGAGTTAAGTGTGTTGTTTTTTGGCACAAATATACCAAACCTCCTAGAAGCAAAAGTGGTAATTAATTGGGAAAAGCAGTATTTTTCCATAACATGTAAATAAATTTCCATGCTAATCATAAATTTCATAATTTGCCAAAACAGCAAATGTGATACATGGCCTACTGCATTGTATTTGTAATGATCAGAAATCTCTCAAATATATATATATATATATATATATATATATATATATATATATGCATGCGCTTTTTGATAAACTTACACTGAAGGGAAGTATAGATTTTAACTTGTATGTTTTAAATTCAAATTTCATATTGGCCCATATTTTTAAAACCACACTTTTTAAAAAATAGAAAAAAATCAGTTGGTTTTATTCATTCAGCTGGGTAGACTTCTGTTCTAAATTTCAAGAAAGAAAAGTAAACATTCTGTTTCTAAGGCTTTTGTAGTGTTCGGAATGTATTTGGCTTCAGGTTTCTGTGTGTTGTGGAAGTTTTTGATATCCCTGACAGCGAGAGAGCGAGGCCCAGGTTCCTATGGATAAAGTATACAAAACTTTGAACCTCGCTTCTCCCAGCGTGAAATTGATTTTGGTCCCCAGTACGTCTGGACCACTAGTTATTCCAGTGACTTTAGGGGGAAAATTAGATGTGGTAGGACAACCACAGGACCAATTCCTGAAGTCTTGCACATATTTTAACACTTGTAGAGTACTTATCCCAGTTCCTATGTTCTTATTCTCTGCATGGGAGTTATTAGTGGCTAATTATCAGGCCATCATGGTTCATTATGATTCTTTTTTTATGGTGTAATCTCTTCTCCACAGTTAATTGTGTTCTTGGGAGCAAAAGGTCAGACTTTTTTGACTACTAGAAAGAAAGAGGTCAAGATGAGAGAATAACACATGCCCTAAGAGCTTAAGATATTTCAAATGCAGCCGCTTGACCTTGCAGAGTCACTTATGGTTAAGGATGACATGATTACTTCCAGAGATTCTGCCGAAGTTCCTTGGCTTACACTTTAGATCTTCTGTTCATAAATCTGATTAATAACTAGAATGTGATTGAAGTGTATAGCTTATTTGATGTAACTTTGCATCAGTCAAACATTCATACACATACAGTAGCTGCCTTTCTTTTCTTTTTTTCCATTTCTTAAAAAAGTGTCCTAAGAATTGGTCCATTTTGTATACTCGTTCAATACTTTCAAAAGTGTCTAAATTATTATGGGAGAGTTCCAGTGGCTCTCTTTCCTCTGTACACCTTTTTGAGGTACACATATACTAAAGAACTTGCAAACTGCTTTCTAACCCAGCTGTAAATTTACACTGTTATGACACTCTGGCTTGGAACCGAGGGTTGCAAGATTCTCAATATACCTGCAGGTTGAGATCCCAGTTTCTTGCCCTTCATTACACTACATATTCCACAGTAGGTCACTTCACAGTTTATGTGGTAGACATGTTTGCACTCTGTGGCACCATGTCTGGCAATAGACACCATTATTTATACTTACCGTAAATACATTGCCAGTCCTTTATTATTTTTTCAAAGTGGCTGCAATAAAATATCAAATATAGCAGTCAACAATAAAAACAATGCAAAGTACAATAACTAAAATACAAATACAGTGGTGCTTCAGGTTACATACGCTTCAGGTTACAGACTCCGCTAACCCAGAAATATTACCTCGGGTTAAGTACTTTGCTTCAGGATGAGAACAGAAATTGTGCTCTGGCGGCGTGGCAGCAGCAGGAGGCCCCATTAGCTAAAGTGGTGCTTCAGGTTAAAAACAGTTTCCAGAACGAATTAAGTACTTAACCTGAGGTACCACTGTATAGCAATAGAAATGGTAAAAAAAGTGGCTCGGTTGCTTAATCAGAACTATAACGCTTTAACTTTCCCCTAAAACTGAAGACAAGTAGTGTTTCTTGGGGAAAAGTGTTGAAAAGACTTTGAATGTTCATGGAAAAGTTGCCACTTAATGTAGTTCCTCAACAGGTAGATCAAATAGGACCTGCAACACAATGCTGCAGTGCATCCTCACCCCCTAACAAGAGTGCTCAGGGTGTCAGCCATAGTTCTGCATTACTAAGCCTTCAAGATACTGTAATCTGTAAGGGGCTTACGTGGGCCAATTCTCTCACTATCACTGTTTCACTCAAATTTGTGTACACATGCACACACTTTCCCAGTTTTATTTTCTGACGCTTAACGTTCTGGAAGCCATAGCATACCTGCTGGTCTGTTGGTGGTTTTCGTTTTGGATTTTTATTTGTTTTTTTGTTTGCTGATGTATCCCTCTTATTTTGCAGGGGCACCAATTTGACTTAAGCCTTTTGTCACTGAATCGCCTGAGTTTGCTATTGATGTTATGTAGCAGGCCTTCCCTGTCTATGTTGGCAGGTGTGGGGGGAAGCATTCTTGCATGTGTAGTGTTCCAGACTTTTCAAGGCTTTAAAGGTGGTGGTCTGCACCTTGAATTGAGCTAGAAAATAATGGGCAGCTAGTGCAACTTGGAGTGGTCCAGGGATTCCCTGTTCGAAGCAAAGCCTGTCCATAAAAACCCAGGAGGTAGTGGGCACATATTGGGGAATTTCAGTTGTCTGTAGTTCCCTGGCAGATGCTAGCCATATGCATGCCAAACTAGTTTTCCCTAACAATGTTGCATGGCCATTCTCACATAGTATGGCACTGAGAATTGCTGCATATTGCTTGAGTTTCCCCACGTAGATGTGTTTGGGTTGTGCACAACCATGTATGTGTGCAATGATGGGAAGTAAACTGATTTAAATTGCAAAAATGGCTCAAAAAGAGCAGAAAAAAGGCCCGAAAAGAGCAGGAAAACAACTAGCAGTTCCAGGAGCCTTTGCAACTGTGATCCCATGAGTCTTTGAACCGACCTTTTAAGGCCTGTGGAGAGTTGGAGTTTGAGAAAGGAGGTTTGGCGAGAGTGGTTGTGGTGGAGTTTAGTGGAATTTTGGTGGTGCTTGGTGAAGTTTAGAAGGTGTTTACAGACTTTTTAGATGGTGTTCCCCATGATGCACGATTTCAAGTATACTAGCGGTACCAGAAATGTAACCCTCGTGTAAGTGGGGAGATGCCTATACAGACAAATCCAACAGCAGAAAGATGCAGTCAGCTGAATAATGGGATTGCAAGCGGTTGTCTCTTCTACTCGCCCAATATGGGGTTATTCCTGAATGTCAGAATACATGCAGGTATCCCTTCAGTTGCACTTGCTTTTAGTAGATAAATTTTATTTTAAATGAATGAGGAAAAGTGTTAAACCCAATCAACAAACTAAGATGAGGCCGGAAGACTGTGCAGGATAAAAAGTCAATAATGCTGTGGATTGTGTAGTAGATCCATAGCAATTTGGAAACGCACAAGAACGTGTTCATGGTCCCTAACTTTTGTCCTTTCTTCTGGAATCTTTGCTCTCAGTTTTTTACCTATATTTATGCCACGCAAACATAGCTTTTTAAAGCATAAGCTACTTTGAGTTGGTAGTGCACTTTCCAAATAGATTATTGACATTTCAGTGAGACTTGCTTCACAACTTTATGCATCAATAGTGTTTGGTGTAGCTGTTACAGCACTTGCCACATTAAATACATAACATTAAAGGAGACAAAATATATTCCCTCCAACACTTGTGAGCTTATGGTTATGCAATGTAGTTCCCTGACTTTATTTTTCTTACCAAAGCAAATAAAATTACCCTGTAAAGCATGCCATACCATGTAGAGTTAAAGAATATGTTCATTTTCTGTCTGCAGGTTTGGACTGAGCAACAAATTTGAAGCAGAATTTCCTTCGTCCTTAACAGGAAAAGTAAGTATCTGTGAATGAAATTCATAAGGAGATCTGACAGAGATTTTAATTTTGTGAGTTTAATGTTGCTTTTAAAACAGAGAAACGGATTTGTTAATGTAAATCAGACATTATATTTATCACAATGCTTCATGGTTCTTTCTTGCAGGTTGCACCTGAGGAGTTTAAAGCCAGCATCAGCAGAGTGAATAGCTGTCTTAAGAAGAATCTTCCAGTCAATGTCCGATGGCTGCTTTGTGGCTGCCTTTGTTGCTGCTGTACTTTAGGTTGTAGTATGTGGCCAGTGATTTGCCTCAGTAAAAGAGTAAGTTTGATCATACTCATTGCCACATAACCTCAGCTTCCAAGTTCAAGACTTCTTTTCTCTGTGCCTTATTCTGCTTTACAAATACTTTTTTCTAATGTTAATTTTTAATGTTAATGTTACTTTCCTGGGCTTGCTTAACACAGTGGTTTCAACTTCTATAGTGGCTGAAGGTACATAGAAAACTAACACTAGCCACTGTGGAAAATTCAACTGTTAAATATGAATACTGTATAAAGATTTTATCAATTTTGTGTTAGTGCGTCTTCATGTAACTGATGAACTGAGGGAATGGTACTGTAGTTTCCAGCAGAGGCTTTTGTTATTTTTTTAAAGTTGCTTAGACATATCGTTGCCCACTTGGATAATCCTAGGATCTACCATGACTGTAATTTAATTGATTTGAATATTTTATAATTTCCGTAACTTGCCCTGGGATTTATGGTGAAGGGTGGGTAGGAATTCTAACAAGTGAATGAACATGGAAAAGTTTCATATATAACTAGCCACCAAACACAAGCTCTCTAAATTCTGTTGACACCCTGCCACTCAACATTGACATGATGTCCACAGATTTTCCTCATGCACAAACCTGGGATGAAGGCTTTTCACAGTTCCTAGTACAGTGGTACCTTAGTTTACGAACTTAATCCGTTCCGGAAGTCCGTTCTTAAACCACAGCATTCTTAAACCAAGGCATGTTTTCCCATAGCAGCGGGGGACTCAGTTTACAAATGGAACACACTCAACAGGAAGCGAAACATGTTCTTATTCCAAGGCAAAGTTCACAAACCAAAACACCTACTTCCGGGTTTGCATCATTCTTAATCCAAGTTGTTCATAAACTAAGCTGTTCTTAAACCAAGGTACCACTGTATTTAAATCCTAGCAGCTAGTCTCATCTATATGCAATTACAAAATAAAGCTGGAACAATTAAAAAAAAAAGTTTTTGGCGCACTCTAAAGTTTCATTACACATTGTTCTTAAAGACTAATGTATTATGTGCTTGAGCTCTTTAGCAATTGAAGTACTTAAGTTAATGCCCACTTTGTGCTTTAGAATGGGTTGCACCAAATCTGAAAATGGTCGTTTTGCATTTACTAGCAGGGGGACATAGGATTTTCATATGATGCAGGTGACTGCTGAAGGAAAAGTGTTACATTTAGTATAAGGATTACATTCAATCTGGAATTTTAAATGATTAAATTTAAATTTAAATTTTTTAATCTAGCGAGGGAAAAGACTACTTCATTGTTACATTAGGCTTGTTTAGGTTTTTACTCAATAGAAAATAGGTAGAAAAGGCTGCAAATCTGTGCATTCATGCTTAGGAGTTAGTTTCACTGAACTCAGTAAGACTCCTTTAGCAAACATGCATAGGATAAATCCACAAGTGTATCGTGTACAAGTGTATCATATCTCTCTGTAGTTCCTGTATCAAACCCTGTTTGATGCAGCTTACATAAATAATTGTGTATAGTTTCACAACAAGAGTGGTTTTTAACTAAAAAATAAATTTCATGGTTAACTATGATGTTGAAAGGAGAAACAACCGCCACGTTTAGTTTTTAAATTTTCCTAGTAAACTTTCTTCCACTTAACTTTTGCATCGTTGTTGTTAGCAAATAATGTGCTCTCTAGTATGCCACTGATGGAAAATCTACAGGGTTGTCATCCCCGTCAGCTGGGAAAGTTACTCAAATCAAGAGTCCCTTTTGGGTTTTGAATGTCCTCACCTGCTCCTCACTGTAAATCATTGAGATGTCAAGTGCGGTGATTAATTAAGCTGCACGTGCAAGTCTTTCCCCCCCTTCACCTGTCAAGTAGGGAAAAGGAAGCTTGGTGTCGAGAATTGTGCGACGCTCTTTAATTCACTTTTTCTTCCCCCGGCTGAGAGGTACTTGCTAATGTTTCATTTAAACTTTCATTCACCTTTTGTATGGCTGACGGGGTTGGGTATTGTTGAGTGATTTTATAAATGTTGCAAGCTGTTTGTACATGCGACGACTTACAAATAATAATTTACAAAATTAGTATTTGTAGAGAAAAAAATCTTACATGCTTGAGGTATACAATAGTGTTACCTACACTCAGGCTTTGGCAACAGAGTGTGTTAAAACTGAAATACGAGTGATGCACAATTTGTCTTCTACATGTGTGTTGCCTGCTTAATACTAACTGCTAATAATTTGTTTTAAGCTGCCTAATATGTTTCCTTCAAATTCAGTGCCCTTTCTAACTTCATAGTTAAGTCCTTCATCCCCTCAATAAGAGTAACAATAGTTGAATGTTAAAATTTGTTTCATTAAAAGATGTCTCTTCGTAGTGTTGCGTTAAGTTTCTGTATTCACTTTCCTTTCTAGGGTGCAAAGTGTTTTAACTCCCCTAGTATTTGGGAAGCTGGTTTCTTTTCTGTCTTTTCTCCTTCCCCTTCGTGCAGGCAGTGAAATTTAAATTGTACAGCAGTCTTAATCTATTATTTAAAAGGTTCTAGCAAGGAAGATTACAAGGTAGCTTCACATTTTTGAATCGGTTTTGCCATTGGTTTAGCAGCGGGTGGGCAGGCAGATGCCTGCTCGGAGTAGAACCTATTGCCATTTTTCACCATTGATAGAGTAGCCTTTCAGAGTCAATGAGCTCTGTCAATGTGAGCTTGTCAAGGCTACAACTTCATAGACCTGAGAGGCGGTTTGAGAGGTCAGCCCTTTTCAGGTTTGCTGTGATGCAAATGAGCTTTAATGCTTAAACAACTATTGGAATTTTTATGTCTGCTCCTTGTTCTTTTTTCTTCACAAAGTCATTGACGAGACATTCAGTGCTTTTTAAATTGGAAGTTGCATTGTGCTAAAGACCTAGTACAGATTTACGGAGGGCTGAAAGCAGTTAGATCATGTTCTTTTCATGGTGCGATTAGAATCAAATCGATTTCCCTACAGCCTTCAGCATTCAGATGGCAATTTTAACAAAGCTTAGGGGGCTAGACAAGGGACAAAACGACTGAACTGAATGTTAATTACACTCTGCAGCCTTATTTTCTTTTGATTTGGAGCTGACTGGCAACTAAATTAACAAAAGTGTGACCATAACTGCTGCCCTATTTTCATTTAAAAGGAGAGCAGACTCTAAAAGGCTATCTTGACAAAGAAACAAGTGAGGTCTGCTGATCATTGTTAGAGGGCAGGCACTGTCTTTAATAAAATAAAATAAAAAGTATTGGCCAAAAGGAACAGAACTTTAAAAAACAATGTAATGACTTTGTCCTTGCTATTAAAATGTGTCCCAGGGTTCTTGGGAATCCCTTCTATTTTCGAAATATAATGAAAAGGTAAAAAAAAATATCCTAATAATTATTCATGCCTAACAAAGTTGATTCTTTCAAGTAGCTAGAATTCAGGTTTATGCTCTTGTGATTGTTATAAATGAAAAGAAACCACTATATGTATTTTTTGCCTTTCGTGTATATTCAGTAGGTTTGATGATGAATGCTTTTAAGTAGTTCTTAAAAAAAATGCTTGTTCACTTGCTGCACCAGTGTGCATTTTATAGCACCTCTTGTTTAGCAGTAGTTGAAGTGCAAGATGCTTCTCAGCCCCCCCCTTTCCCCCTCCCCAACTTCTCTTTGCCTTGTAAGGAAGCTGCAGCTGTATGAAGTTGAATTTGCCACAAGGCTCAGTGATCCATGCCTCTGCACCTGCAACTCTGGTCTCATCTCAACACCTGGTGTTGTGATTTATCCTCCCTATTCATAAGGACTAGTAAATCCCATTTTACTACTGAGCAGTCGATGATACGGCAGTCAAGTGACCATAAACAGCAGCAGGACGTATTTCTAAATCAGAACACCAACTGCATCTTCAGAGTAGCAGATTTAGTGCAAGGGGATTTAAATAGTTCTCTTAAAGCTGGATAACTTAAATTCAAGGGACTTATCAATGTGCAGATTTCCAAATATTCTGGAACAATTTGTGCATTAATGAGAAACCGTAGATTAACATTTTAGAGCTCCAGTATGTGAAATTAGTCAACAGCACGGCATTTTGTATGAATGATAGTTATCATAATGTCTACGCACAGTATGTGGAAACTATCCCATGCTTGATCTGCAGTCTGTTTGTTTCAAGTTACTTGAATTATGAGGTAGCTTGGTTCCATTAACTTCAATGGATCTAAATTGACTCACTTAACAGTGTTAGTGAATAAAGCACTTTTGGGTTTTTTAAAAACCTTTTATTAATGTACAGCTTTGTAGATAAATACATTTTCCAGCCATTTAAATATTTCTTAGTGTTGTTTTTTTATTTGGTCGCTGAAACCATTTTTTGAAACACACACCTCTTTATCCTAGCTATAATTAATACCAGAAAATTTGCAGTACGGCAGACCACCCTGTACTGAAGTTGCTGTCCTTTACCACGTTTCTCTTCCACCCCAGCCACCTTTTCCACACAAAGGCAGCTGCAAAACAAACTTTTTTCCAAAGCTGCTCAAGAGTAAAATTCTTTCTCATTTGTCTTCCAGACACGAAGATCGATTGAGAAGTTATTAGAATGGGAAAACAATAGGTTATACCACAAGGTGAGTGCCGCAGGGAGCAGCTTCGTACTGCTGGGGCCTGAATTGCACAGTATGGAAACAGATGCTTTTGTTGAACGCGAAATATGAAAGCTGGACAAATGGACTAGTCTCTGTGCCGGCGATAAAACACAGCTCATTTTTCTTCCCCCTTTTTCTCCCTGTTGTCTAGCTGTGCTTGCATTGGAGGCTAAGCAAAAGGAAATGTGAATCGAATAACATGATGGAATATGTAAGTTAAAGGGCTGTTTTGTGCATTTCTCTATTAAATGATCATTTATTTTGCTTCTGATCTTATTCTTTCCACGATTATTAATCAGCAAAGGTGTCAGGAGCTTAATCGCCTGAGTGGCAAGGATTTTCTACGGTTCACAGATGTATGGTTTCATGCGCAGGGCTGATTTATAAAGTTATGAATGACTTGAAAACAAGGCTTCACTGTGTTCCGGGGAAAAAATAATAAATTAATTGCCAAGATAAAATAGCTTGAACGTGCGTTGATGGGGTGTGAAATTTTCAGATGCTGTATAAAAAGAATAACTGCAACTTTGGCTACGCAGCGAGTTAGTTGTGGACTGTTTTATATAATGCTAATCGAGTCTCAGTGTATGGAAGGAGACCTTTCAACTAAGCTGTTGGAGCTTAGGAAACCTTTAGACTTTGTCGATTTTAACTGCCCCCATACCTCAGCAGTCTTGAAAGTAGCTTGAGCTTTTACTAGCTTCATTCAAATGTTTTAAAAGTCAGGCCTGATAATAAGAGCGTGATGTGTCGGTTTTGGCTCTCATTCTCTAGCTCTAAAGATTATACAGAAGATGAGGAGGATTTCTTGAAAGACTTTTCATGGGGTGCATTTGTTTCTGTCCCCCGCACCCCACCCAGCAATCAGTCCTTGTAGTTTTTCTTATTTCATTTCACTTTGCTGCGCCTTTAAATTTTTCAGTTGTGTCTATGGAAAAGTGGCATGTGAAAAGATACTTAACTGCTTTAAAACAAATAAGCCCTTGCAAAACATGCTAGTATTATAATTTTTTAAAAAACACAAGCAGCGGTTAACAATTAAATTAAGAGTAACCCCCAGTGGCATCTAGCTTTAGCTATTTCTAACACATCCATGCCTTTTAATTATATATCTTGTCTATTCTCTAACACAATACATGCATTATAGACTGTATGTTAAAAGATTGATTTAAAACAGTGCTTAAATAGTTAGAAATTATCTTAAAATCATCTTTTCTGTTAGCACTGAAGAAAAGGGGAAATACTAAGGCCTATATCTAGCCTAAAACATAAAAGACTTCCTAAAATGCCTTTTTTCCAGAGTAGTTCTATTCAACTAACTATTTCTTTTTAACATCTATTATACTTAACATGTTAATTTATGATCATCTATTATAGTGAACATGTTAATTTATGATCATAGACTCATGATAACTTCACAGTAATTGGAGGCAAGAAAGAAAATTTGACACAGGTTTTTGAGGTTGGCCTGTGTAAAGAATTCAGTTTTGTATTTTCATTACTGAATGCTTCTGGTCTCTTAAAAATCCACTCACATTTGAGGGCCACAGTCCTGAGCAAATTTATGTTGAGAATGTGCCTAATTAAAACTAGTGTTTTTCAACAAGGTGTTCAGGCATTGATGAAAGTTGTTATTGTAATTTCGCAGCCCAATGTAGAATTGTTTTTAAAAATTAGTTTAAATTCAGGTACCCCTTTAGGCAACATTTATTATTGGTGGGAATGTGATAGAGCAGTGGTTCCCAATTATCTTAAGTACTGTGGACCTCCTGTTTTTCAAAAGCCAAGCCATGGACCTCCTACTTTTGAAAATTTGGATACCTCTATGGTAGTTTTTGTTATGTGAATGGTGCCACAGACCCCCTGAATGGGTTACACGCACGGTTCCCAATGTGGGGCACACGCCCCACAGCGGGGCAGTTTGATTTTTAAGGGGGGCAATTTGAGAATGAGTTATTAACCGTTAATGGCCTTTTAGGCTTCCTAAAGAACTTCCTATAGAAGTTCGCTTTTTGAATAATAAGAATTATATGTCATGGGGGGGCATCAATATTTTCGAGATGCTTAGGTGGGGCATGGCCAGAAATAAGGTTGGGAACCACTGGGTTACACAGACCACCAGTTGGGAACCACTGTGATAGACCAACAGCACTGTATTTAAACTTTTTACAACTAAACTGCACGCTTACTTGGTGAAAAGGGCAATGTGTTGGTTCCAAAACAGAAACTTGCTATTCATGGAAGGGGAACCTTTGGGTCCATGCTATTGTCTTCAGTGGAACATTCCCCCTCCCCTTATGAAAATAGGCAATATGTAGTTGAAGACTACTTCTGGATCAATCTAGGAGGCCTACAGACTTGGGTCACTTTCTGTGTTGTTCATTATAGTACAATAAGTTATTCTCAAACAGAAACACAGAACTAGCTGAATATTAACCTTTCACAATTCCGCAAAGGGTAGTAAGCATTTGAGTAAAATGAGAGATTTGCTGCTGTACAGCATGGCAAGCATCTCAGTGTTGCCACAGTTAGGAAGGTAGATAAATTGGGAAATGGAATAAACAGATCCTCCTGCCTTACCTGTTTGTTTTCATCGGGGAGATCATCTCTTGTCCTGCTAAAGCGTCATTTTAATTGTTGAAACAATCACATGTGTAACTAGGGGCCAAATGTGGTAGTCCAAAAGAGAGACCATCTACATCTGAGGAAACATGTTTTTAGTAATCTAGCTACTTTCCTACTATTCCCCCAAGACTGTAAACCAAAATTAATTAACAGAATAGGATGTAACCTCCCTGCTCCTGCTTGAAACAAAACAATACATGAAGTGATCATTCTCTGTATTCATGGATATATTCGGAACAGTTTTTAAAGTAAGAAATGTTTGTAGGTGAAGACAGTAACACCAAAAGAAAAGGGAATGGTGGGGTTGGGGATGAAAATGTTGAAATTGTAAGCTTAACTTAATTTTAACTGAGTTACACAACTGATGTAGTCCTAGTGCTGCTTTTACATTTAACAAAGCTTCCTTTTAAAGGGTCGCACTTAAATGGTTGTTAGCTTTTTGAATGCTGCTGTAATTGTTTAGGTGCACAGAAAGTCTTGCTCACTGGCATGTTTCCTTTGAAACTCTTGTAAAAATTATCTTCAGTTTCACAAGATTTTTACCCTATGGCATTGTGGCTCTGTTAGGCAAGCACAGGCCAAAGTTGCCCTCATTATGCAGGACTAGTTGCCTGTGTCGGTATTTTTGTATTAATAACTGTGTTTATTTTACTTGGCTAAAACCTTATGAACCAAGCAACTGGCTCTTTCAGAAATTCATGAATGAGTCTTGTGCATGTATCTGTAAGCCGTCGTGCAAATAGTTAAGACAGCTAGTTCTGTGTGCACAAGGAGGGCTTTGAACTTGTGTTTTTTCACACATCAAACCAATCTTTGTGTGCCTCGTCTGTGAGGGGCCCGGAGGGAAGCAACACAAAAACGGGCTTTTTAGGAATGGCTCCCCACTTGTGCAGTGCTCTCTCCAGGGAGGATCACCCGGTGCCTTCATTTAGGTGCCAGCCAAAAACATCCTTCTTCTCCCTTGCCCTTTGGCTTATTAAGCAATCTATGTCCTTTTAAACGGTGCTAGGTGGTGGCGGGGTTATTATTTTTGTTTGTTACTATGCTGGGCATTTTTGTATCTTCATATTGTAATTTGCTCTGTGGTCCTCAGATGAAGGGCGGGATAGAAAATTAATTAATTGATGATGATGATGATAAATAATAATGATAGCAGCATCACAACCTCTTACAAGAGCAAAAACATTGCATTGTGTGAAAAGGGACCACTTTGGCTCTAGGTGGTTACATGCTACATCTGCAACCCAGCCAGATGGGTGGGGTATTATTATTATTATTATTATTATTATTACTACTACTACTACTACAGTAGTCATACCTTGGTTGTTGAACACCCTGGAACTCAGACGTTTTGGCTCCTGAACGCCGCAAACCCGGAAGTGATTGTTCTGGTTTGCAAATGTTCTTTTGGAACCTGAACATCCAATGGGGCTTCATGATTTGATTTTCAAATGTTTTGGTATCCGAACAAACTTCCGGAACAGATTCCATTTGACCAAAGGTACGTCTGTACTACTACTACTAGTAGTACTAGTAGTAGTTGCTGGGAATTGCAAGTTGGGAGAGTGCTGAAAAATGCCTGTGGGTACATGTGCCTCACATAACTGTTTGGATCCCATCCATAGTTTTTCCTTTAGCACAGTAAAAGCTTTAACATTGCTGAGATGTTTAAAAATGGACAGTGCCATTAATTACTCACTAAATGTATATATTTTTTTCTTTCTCTCTTTTACACAGGTCATTCTTATAGAATTTTTACCAAAGACACCAATTTTCCGACCAGATTAGCATTTGCTTTACTTTAGAGACTTACCCAAGTATATTGTCTTTTTTTCCAATGGTGCCTTGCTTGGTGCTCTCCTGGTGATGATATAGCATTGGTTCTACATAATATTGTGGTTTCTTCATTCTTTTCTTTTGTAACGGCATGTTCAAAGTGCATTTTGTCAAATTTTGCGGAAGTCATTTCACGCAGACGTCAGTGTAATTTATTTCCTGTCCCTTTTCCGTTGTTGATGTATCCTGATTTTTCCAGAGACTTTATATATACATATATCTATGTATGTGTGTGTTTCTGTGCGTGTATATATACATATATAGCTATAAACATAAAACCAAAAATAGCTATAAGTGAGAAGTTATTTTTAACCCCATATAAATTGTGAAAATTGGCAATCACTTTAATCTATGCACTTGCATCTTCTCTGAATCTCTGCATATTTTGCCAGCGACATACTTGTATATATCAGAGTTTTTCCTTCTCCTTTCTGGAACGTAAATCAGCCACCTGTGAGGCGACAAGCAGCATTTCTTGATACCCAAACATTGGTTCACCTTTGCGCATTTCTCTATTCCATGAAGAAGTACCATCTACTCTGAAGATGTTCTTCTCAAGAAACTTGAAATTGGATTGCTAGTATTCCACTAGAAGAATTTGTGATAGATTTGCATGTGTTCAGTGGTTAATACTGCTCAGGATCATAAAAATAATTAGTATTTCATGGGGGACTGGTACACACGAAACACTGGTCAATCCTGCTGGGAATAAAAGAACTGGGATTGAGGGGGAAGTGGAATTTGTGATCTCCAAACCTGCTCCCAATCTCTTAATCCTGGTTCAGAATAGACCAGTTTTTTGTATGTGTGCACCTACTGTGTGTGTGTGTGTGTGTGTGTGTGTGTGTGTGAGAGAGAGAGAGAGAGAGAGAGAGAGAGAGAGAGAGATTATATATGTACATACTGTGTGGCTAATGCCATGTAACAGCTTTACTGTTTTTATTGTTTACTAGATCTAATAGTACACAAGGATGCAAGCTTGTCAGAAAAATATTTGTTAAATACTTCAGTAGTTTGAGTTTTTAAATGTTGCAGTGTTTGGCTCCAGGTCAGAGAAAGGCAGTCTCAATTCCTATTGAAATTGATGGGTTACGTTAGTTGTGACTAACTTTTAAAATCCCATCCATTTCAGCGGGATTTGAGCACAGTTAAGTTTCTATAATTATTTCAGGTGGAGTCTTTGTATGTAAAACATTTACAACATTGTACCAGAAGCTACAGATGTGTTGATGATTTTTACATCTGTTTATCAGATGTGCAAATCAAAAATTAGTGATTTGGCTGAATAGCTTACTGAATGTACTGGATAAATACTTACTGCATCCCAGCTTTTTTTCTCTTTTCTATGTTTACATGGTTAGCTTTCTGTTTATTGTTTGCACAAGAAAGCATTAAAAGAAATGGATATGTGATAGTATGCTTTGGTCAGGGCAGTTTTTAGTTTTTTGGCTGTGCATATCTTCATATATTGTGTTAAAGCCTACTTAATACAACTATTTCTGAAAAGCTTGGGGTTGTTGTTTTTTTAGCTTAACGTACATGAACTGTAACATATGTTAAGGGCCCATTCTTCATGTAGCAGAGCAATAATGTGAATAGCCAACAAATGCATTCTGCTTACTATTTGTACTATGAAAAGTTTACCCCACTGCAAGGATTCCATTTTCCTTCATTTAAATACAGTTTCACTTTATTGTCATTATACAGATATGTTTATTGTGTATTTTTCAATGCTTGCTGTTCATAGCAGATCTTCATTAGGAGAAGCATCTTTTGTAAAGGAAAGAATTTCCAGGAAAGTATTTCAAATCACCTTTTGTCTGGGCTCTATTTTTGCATATCACAATATACAGTTCTTCCAAAATGTTCTTTTAATCTGGTAATAATTGGGCATGATCTGGCCAAAGTTAGGCATTTCTATATCACATTGATTTCAGTGGGACTCTTTCCCACTGAAAACCATGCAGTTGGCTTTGGCTGGCTCATGTGCACTGCTCTTTGCAGACAGTATCTGCCTATATGCTTTTTAAAATATAAGGGCTTTAAAAATGTGTAGTCTTAAACAAGTATCCAAAAATGATCATTTGTTGTCCATGATCTGCTTTTCCTTGAAGAAAGAATTATAAAGCATTTCACCTTATCGATGAGCATTCTATTGTATGTGTTAAAACATTTGCATGCTTTGGAAACACCTTCATAATACAGACTTGGGCCATAATCTAACACAGTTTGCTGAAGTTGGTTTATCTGAGGAGGCTTAATTGTGGCTAGATCTGTGTTGGATTGTGGCCTTGATTAAGACGGAAAATCCATTGGTATTGCTCAACTGACCAGAGCCTTTGTAAAAACTGGCTCCTTTCCAGAATTCTGGGGCTTTAGGCTTATCCATTCACTTTCATAAAGGTAGGAATTCTTCTCCATCTCTTTGCATGTGCTGAGTTTCCATGTCTATCGAAGCAAATGGAGAATCCCTTGCATGTGCAAGAACTCTATCTGCATGTTGGAGTTCCTCTGTGTATGTAAGTTGCTGGTGTGCAGAGACTAGATTTTAGAGTCACTGGTGCATTATTCAGTAGAATTCCTTGTCCTATTTGTTACTTCATTCAGCAGACTTTTCGTCAAACTAATCTTCCCAAGGGCAGTTGTATACTGCCTGCTTGCAATAGGACTTGTATTTTCTGTTTTCTGTAAAGTGTACGTCTTGCATGTAAAGTTAGTTCAGACTAGGTAGACCCCAAGGAGGGTGAGAACCACTTCAATATCTCACTAACCTTCATGTCTAAGTGGGTTGAGACCATCTGCTGGGTGGCTTAACATGCAAAAGAATGACTCACACCGGTGGTCTCCTTGTGCGAGCAGCAGAACCTGAAATGAGGGGTCTTGCATGTCATCACGGAGGAGAGGAATTGTGAACGTAAATCACATGCAACTTTCCTGGTCACAGATCTCATGGAAGACATCTCATGCTATGCAACTCAGGCAATCCAACCCTGTGGATAAGCGTTACTTGCATGAGTCAGCAGGAGGAGATTGCTTCAACCTGCTCTAAATCCACATTTGACCACCCTCTTGGCTTCTTCTGTAACTGCTAATTTGGCAGTGTTTGAATGATATGGATTGCTGCTTGTTATTTCTTGTTTTGTATGCATTTCACTTACCATGTTGTTGTTTTTATCTGCTTGGCTTTTTGAAGCGTGGGTGGGGAGGGGAAGTTGGACCCTCCAGCATTTACAAGCACAAAAATGAGTAGTAGCTGAATTCTTCCAGTATGCATATTTTGATATGTAGCTGCTAATGGGGGGTACTATATGGCTGACTTTTTAAAAAATCAACCATTTTTTATCCCATGTAGTGGTAGCAATATATTTGAAAACATGATAGTGAAAAACGCTACAAAGACACAAACACGGAGGCAAATAAAAAAATCCCAATTATTTCCCCTCAATTCCATGTAAAGATATTTCAGAGGCATGTTCAGATTTATTCAAGTGAGAGTGTTGTGGGATGTCATCTAAGGTGGCTGATACCTTTTGTTCATTTTAAAGGAGCAGCTGGGTACATGCCCATAAGTATTCAAACATGGGCATTTCCCCCCAGCTTTGTCACAGTTTTTATGTGCTGCATGATGTCACATTACAAGTTGCCCCATCTTCATCTGAAGTGTGTTTGGTTCAGAACTGTGGATGACGCAGGAAACTGAAAACAGCCCATCAGGTGCCTCACAGACTTCCTGCTTTTACGGGCAGGTAGCAAAAATTGATATATCAAATCCCTGATAGGTTACTATATGTCTGACTTGTTCCCCTGCCCTCCAGTAAAGCAAGCATTTTCGTAGTACAGGCTTTAAGAACATGTGCCCTATTATTCATTTCACAGTTACCAGGAGAGCTTAAGGCTACACAAGTCCCATTCAACTCAAGAAGACATGCTTCTCTGAGTAACTGGCGTAGAATTGCACTGTAAACCTTTTGACAGCAAAAAAACAAAATGAAAGAACCCTCTTGTAAGGATTAAGTAAGAATTAACAGCTCTCTGCCAGTTCAAATAACCTTTTTCCTTCTGTATATGTAGCACTGAAAGATGAAAGTTGCATCAAAATGTATTACTTCTACTTAGGTAAGCAGGAGTTTGAATTCCTCCCTATATTTTGGTTCTTCAGCACATTCAGTAGTTACCTATGATTCTGTCCAAAGGCTATGCATTAGAAATTTGGTCAATTATTCTATAACATAACACTTCAGTTAAAAAAATGATTTGAGTGCAGTATAAGCACATGGGCAACTATAAATTGCATATTACATTTCAATTGTTCTTTGTTTTGTGCCAATTATTCCTGTCAGATGAATGGCCCAATTGAAATATTCAGTGAAAATGTGCTAGTATGGTTAGAGAATGTAACTTACCTTCAGTAGAGGGAATAACAAAGTGTTTCCTTAATGTTTCTGTGCACTGCATTTTTCACAGTTTCGGTTTCATGTCAGCCAGCTGTAACTGCTAGCATTAAATTTAGAAATAAACATGCTCCAACTGTACCATTTTCCTGAAAATTAAAATCTCAGTCTAGCAGCCTATATAAAACTTCTTAACACAAAACAAAACAAACGTATTGTACAGTATCATCTTTAGAAAGTTGAATATGGGTTTGTATTTAAATAAGCTGCCTGTTTTGATTGAATTGTAGTTTTTTTGTTGAAAATTTAATTTCTGCTTTGTTAACATAGCTAAACATCATGCACTATGTATGTTTCAGTGAAATGCATGTTTTTCAGTGTGTGACTTCTGGCTTGACACTCAAGGTTTTTGGAAAACTAACACAGGGCAATTTAGAGTAGGTTATACCAATAGGACAATGCGACAAAGCATGTCATTTTGGTAGTTTGGCAGAGATATTGCAGTGGTATTGTGAGCAGCTAATATTTAGCATGGAGTGACAGGTTTGATATAGGGCCAATTATTTCTAGTCCTTTCCTTCAGTCCTAAAGACAGCAAGTCTAGATGTTACATAGGTCTAGATGTTACATTTGTCATACAGACCAGCATTCCCATAGCGAATATTTTATCTCCTAGCTATTTCTCTCAGTGCAACTTACCGTACAAATTGAAGCCATCATACAGTGAGCTCTTCTGCTGACAGCCCTCACTGGTGTGAACTGAATCAGGGGAATTTGCTTCACGAATTCCCGGCTCCTGCAGTGGATTTCAATATATTGATAAGAAAATCCCAAGGAGACTGTTCCCATTCGCAGACTCAAGTCACCTTGCATAGCAAGCCCTCAGATAACCTGCATCCAGAAAGGAGATGAACCTTCCTGTGTCAGCATGGAAAGCTTTTCCATTATGCATACCCAATTTTGCCTTCCCAATCTGCTCCTTTCCCATTCTACACACACAAGGAGATCTTTCAACACTGCATATCGTTCCTCCACTGACACCAGTTTCCGCTGGCATTCGCCTCACTAAAGTTGGATGAGCTGAAACAACCAAGAGTCTTGTAATGAGCTGCTAATGAAAGGCAAAAGTTAGTTACAAGGCTGCTAGGAGCTTGTATAGTCATGTATACCATCCAAAGGTGAGAAGCTACAAACATTGATAGCAAGGATTAATTAGAATGTTCGATATTTTCCCAGTATACCCTACTGCAAAATGGGTCTGTAATGTTAGATATCCTTCTCAACAGACTAATATTGGAAGTAAGCTAAAGAGAGAACGCCAACAGCCCAGTCACATTGTTTGTTCAGAAGTAAACCCCATGGAATTGTAGACTGCAATCCAGTGTACACTTACTTCTGAGTAAACAAGCAAAGGTTTAGCTGTTAATTACTCCTGCATTCCTACATTTCTCTAGATAGCACCTGTTGGCTGTAATACAGAATATACAAATATATATATAGTATTGCAAAGAGCACCCGGTTTCTTTGCGGTAATGATCCAAATGACTCTGTGACTATTTCCATGCATCCAAAGTGTTTCCCAAACAGCAGCTTCTCTCCCTGCTGTAACCCATAGATGGCAAACCATTTTTGAAACAGAGGAAGTTTTGAAACCTGCTTGTCATATAGCATGGTAATCTGCTGTTCAAAGCGAACTTCTTTAAAAAGAAAATATCTGCAATGAGCATGCCGAAGCCCTTGGGCGTGCTTTAAGTAGTTTTTCTGGATCCTGGCCATGGTTTTTAGCCTTTTCATACCCAGCCAATGGGAGCCCTGTGGACTTTCGGCCTTCTAGATTGTTGTCATTGTGTGTAGCTCAGTTGATTCTTCTACATGACTGACACATAGGATGCATTTGACTGTATCTTTGGAAATCCTGTTAATCTCACGTAGTATATCAGAAAATAGATATGAAATGACATTGTCTTAATCATAATCTTTCAGTTTGCCAGCATATGAAAACATAGTTAAAAGACCAAGCTAGAGATCCATTTAATAAAAGTGTCATTTTTTTTTCATAAAAAGTGCATCAAATCCAAAATCTGCAGTTAGATGCTACAATTTGGGTATGAAGTGCATAGGTAGACAGGAAAGATGGATGGGTTTTAAAATATATATGTGCTTATTTAACCACATTTGTTATGGTTGCTTTAAGTTAATCCACTTAGCCAAATTCCACAATTTTTTTTCTAAATATCAACCATTTTTTTTCCTGACCTGACCCAAATTTAGAATGTATTCCACTTGGAAGTCTCGCTAGAGAATTTCCTAAATTGTATGTTACAAACTAATAAAATTGTGAAGCTATCTTATCAAGACTTGTTTTCTTTTCTAACCTCAATATGGTGCATTCTTTTTCATTTATTTGTGGTATGCACAATCATTTTGCTTCATTTCACCAGAATGTTTTTAATTATCCCAATCCTTAAAAAGTTTACTTAGAAGTAAATCCCAGTTTTGTGAGACTTGTTTCCTAGTGAGCGTGGTTAAAATTTCAGCTAACTGTCTCTTAGATAGAAAAGAAAAAACTTACTTTGAAAACATTGCTAGTAACAAATGCCTAAAAAAGCAAAGGAAATTCAAACTTGGTGGCACAATTAACACTGGACTCTCTTTAAACAAGCAGGTTTAATGCTCATTGATGAGCTTGGCTTCCTATTCTTCAAATACATTTTTCAAAAGATGCTCAAAAATCTCTCTGGAAGTTTTGAGCCTGGAATGGTCTACATTTTATGAAATCCCTTTGCAAAGGAGAGAGAATGGATGTTGCTGAAAATCTTTTAACTCGTTTCTACAAGTTGGGCTGCTCTTAAAAATCCTAAAGTGTTTTTGTCTAACAAAGTTTGAATTCACTAAGTCAGAAATCAGGAATGATCAGACATTTTGCAAAATTCTGTTTAACAGCAATGCTCTATAAAGATTTATTTCCCCCATTTAATTTTAAAATGTTTCCCCCCCATATTTCTCACTTGTAAAGGGGCTTCAGAGTATGTCAGTTTCTGTCTTTTCACTTGTGTAGGAGATTGTCAGAAGTATTGTATCCTCAAAGTAAGCTCCAGCTACATATAGAGAATACAACGTTAGCAGCAAAACCTCCAGTTAATATTATATCTGTGAATACTTCCTAGTGTGTTCAGTACTATTTTTAAACACATGCTTTTTTATTACATCCTCAGTAATAACCCTGGACCATATTGTACAATACCCAAATGTTGCCCAGCGCTATAAGCAAAGATCTTAAATTTAAACAACATACTCTATCTTTGTGTGATGCTTTCCCCCTTAGGAGTCCTTTTAGTTACTTTCTTTTTTTTTAAAAAAAAATCCCTAACAGCCTCTTTTTATGTATAATTAAAAAAACACCCCGGAGCTACTCTGAAGCATGCAGGGTGTTGTAATTTCACTTTGCAAAGAGGTATGATACAATGTTGCTGAGCAGAAAAGCCCATGATAGATTTAATGTAGCCAATTGTTCACATCTGAAAAAAAAGAGTAACTGTTCAGTGTGAGTTAATTTTGGATTTTTTCAGCATCCCTCTTTTAGGCTTTGTGCTGCATTCTTCCAGACAAATGCGTATTCCATGCGGACCACTGTTCTGCTAAATGCTCTCAGTTCTCCCTTTGCAATCAAGATTATGTTGCTAAGGAGATCTTGCTTTTATTGGTGCCATTGATTTGTGTTAATACGTTTTGAATACCTCTTGGTATTCTTTCGTAGACAAGGCCAAAAGAAAAACTTCCCTGAGTTTCCCGATTTGCATGACAAATGGAGCGGTGGTGTAATGAAGCCGATATAAAGTGGGCAGTTGAAAAGCAACTAAAGAAGAGCACTCAAGTGAGAAATGAAGAAATGTGCCGGGACAGTCTGCGGCCTGCCTTCCCTCCAGCTGCAGGAACTGGCTTGGGCCAAAGGGAGATTCGAAGAGGGTGAAGGGAGAGAGCGCCTCCATCCGCAAAGACCACCCACTTTCTGCAGACCCAGCTCTCCGTGGATTACCTCATTGATTTAATATGGGCAATCACAAAGCAGTGGCCTAACTGTGAGTGAAGACTCTTCCTCCTTGGGAAAGATGGGGAGAAGCTGTCACTTTCTCTCTGTGTCCCACACCCTCTTCCTCAAAGCCCTGTCCAGTATTGAACTCCAAGCCTAGGTGTTGATGTGGAAGTTCAGAGATACAAATGGGCTTCGGTGGTGTGTGCCACAGAGGGCACAGGTGGAGCTAGGTGGAGCTTTTCTTCCCGATGGGAAATGGAGCTAATCCTCGGCTACCCCATACCAGCGCATGGTTGATTGCCAAGGTAGATCCTAACTTTCTTGGGAAGTTGGGCCACTAAGAAGATGAGAATCCTTCCTGTTATCTATAATATTGTGCGTCCATTTTTTATGTAGTGTGGTGTTGGCTACACAGTAGCCTGAGTTTGTAAATTGCTCAGCTTTTGCTTACCCTCGCCAGGTACACAACCTCATACACGGTTTAGGTGGCCTACCCAGACACACTTTTCACATACAGCAGTACCTTGGTTAGTCAAATGCTTTAAAAGGTAAAGGGACCCCTGACCATTAGGTCCAGTCATGGCCGACTGGGGTTGCAGCACTCATCTCGCTTTATTGGCTGAGGGAGCCGGCGTACAGCTTCCGGGTCATGTAGCCAGCATGACTGAGTCACTTCTGGCAAACCAGAGCAGCGCACGGAAACGCCGTTTACCTTCCCGCCGGAGTGGTACCTATTTATCTACTTGCACATCGTGCTTTCGAACTGCTAGGTTGGCAGGAGCAGGGACCGAGCAACGGGAGCTCACCCCGTTGTGGGGATTTGAACCGCCGACCTTCTGATCGGCAAGTCCTAGGCTCTGTGGTTTAACCCACAGCGCCACCCGCGTCCCAGTCGAACGCCTTAGTTGTCAAACAAATCAGCTCCCGAATGTCGCAAATCCGGAAGTGAGTGTTCCAGTTTGTGACCGTTTTTTGGAAGCCGAACGTCCAACGCGGCTTCCGATTGAGTGCAGGAAGCTCCTGCAGCCAATCAGAAGTCACGCCTTGGTTTCTGAACTGTTCTGGGAGTCGAACAGACTCCCAGAATGGATTAAATTCGAGAACCAAGGTACCACTGTAATTCATCCCTCTTGTGAAAAAAAAGGTGATAATGCAAATAGGGGGTTTCTGCCGTGCGTGATGGGAAGGATCGCCCCACTATGAAAAGCCTGGTGAGTATGAACTCATATGCAGTGCTATTTTTCTAGAAAAAGAGGTGCTGGAACTCACCACAAACTCCTCCCTTGTTCTCTTGTAATGGGAATAGTGCCCATCTGAGAGGTGCTGGAACTGAGTTCCGGTGAAAAAACAGCCAGCACATGCCTAAAATGATGAAACAAAGTCAAGATTAGCGGTGGCCAACAACGTTGCTAGGAAGGTAAGTGTGTGTAAGAACCGTTCAGCTAATGTTAAGGAAGAAGCGCATATTTCTTTTTCCCCTTCCATTGGAGTTTATGTAGAAAAGCATTCCAAGGAGGCAGAGAAAATTACCCTGTAGTATTTGGGGCTTTCCGTTGTTTCATGTAGGAGACAGGACATTGCATCAAGCTTCATCATCTCTGGGTGTAAGGCACCAAGGTTCATATCACCTAAGGTTCTGTCTTTGACCTACAGCAGGGTTGAAGAACATGCAGCTCTTCAGACTTTATGGCACTTCAGCTCTTTAAGAGCTGTCTAGCACCCAACTTAACATGGTGATTGAGCTGTAGAGCCAGTCTCCATGTTGGAAGAATATGGTACACTGCTTTAGAAGCGGTAGTGTTTCAGGCCCCATCTTATGGAGGTGGATGGGTCAATGTGAGCAAAGCATTTCTGCTTTGGATATGCCCAGAAAACATTTTGAATTATGCAGTGCATTTTGGGGGGTGGGGTGGGGAGAAAGTTGTGAAACTTTTTCCTGTTTTCTGTAAACTGTCCACTAACAGCAAAGTAATGAAATGTCTACCAAATACCTTTAGAGCACCTGTTTTGTACTTATGCCTTGTCACTTGAGAGCCAATAAGGGGTAGACTGTTAGGGTAGATGCTGAGAGGCCCAGGTTCAGATCCTCACACAGCCATGAAGCTTGCTCATTGAGCTTTGGCTAGTCATACTCTCAGACTAACCTGTATCACAGGGTTGTTAGGATAAAATGGAATGGTGGAGAGTGGGGTACACTACCCCCAAAATTCTTGGAGGAAGGGCATGTTGTAAAATGCAATAAAAATAAAATTAGAATTTTACGGGAAACTTTCTCCTAAGTAGTGCATATATGTAAAAACATACAGCTTGTTAAGTGGGTTTCCAAAAATTTAAATAGTTGCTGGCTATTTCTAACTTGTCTATAAAAATAACATGTCATCATTTATTTGCTCCCCGTCAACCATAAACCTTAGAAATGAAAGTTGTTTACTTGGAAATGTATGAAATTACAAGTGGATTAAATCTCATACAAAACATTCAAGAAACTGAAATGATCTTAGTGCTATTGTTACGTTAAAATTCTTTGCAACTTGCTCTGTAAGGAAAATGTTAGGTCCCTCAAGGAAAATAATCAGCTCTAAAGAATGACCACTCTAAAGAACGACCCTTAAAAGTTGCATGGGGTATATTAGAATTGCACTAGCCCCCTGGTTAAAAAATAAGTTTTAAAAAGGACATGAGATATTCAACATCTTCACCACTATTGCATGGCAGCATCTATTGCCAATATGTGGTTTGCGCCCAGTTCTGTTTTCTCCAGCTCATCAGAGTCAGGTGACACCATGCAATTTCTGAGCTGTTGCCTAATTGTTGTGATAAGCTGAATGACGACAAAGAAATTGAACTCCTGATAAGGTGAAGATGCTGTGATTAGAGGGTCCAGGTCTGGGAATTTGGGGAATGCCCTATTCTTGATGGGTTCCTCACCTCATGCAGGAGCAAGTGTATATTCTGGAGGATTCCCCTTGGTACCATTTTGTCACTGAAGTCACTTCAGTGGCATAAAGCGTCTGCCCAGCATCTACAGCTGGTGCACCAGCTATGACCATTCTTCCACAGGAATAGCCTGGCACAGTGATTAATTAATGACCTCCCACTTGGACTTCTGTAATGTACAGTGGTACCTCGGGTTAAGAACTTAATTTGTTCTGGAGGTCCGTTCTTAACCTGAAACTGTTCTTAACCTGAGGTACCACTTTAGTTGCCGCCACTGCATAATTTCTGTTCTCATCCTGAAGCAAAGTTCTTAACCCGAGGTACTATTTATGGGTTAGCGGAGTCTGTAACCTGAAGCGTCTGTAACCCGAGGTACCACTGTACTCTACATTGAACTGACCTTGAAGAACCAAAGACTGGGGAAATATGATCCACAGGCAGACACATGCCCTATAGTGTGGGAATGTAGGAGACGATATATTGATTAAATGTTATCCTTCCTCACTCACGCTAGTGAGCTTGTAGTAGAGCACATTCCCTTGTACATAGGAGGAAGTTAGCTGGTAGATTCGTTAGAACCATTTGAGTTAAGCAATCCAGTCTAGCTCCAGATTGGATTGTTCCTGGTAAATCCCCTTTTGCTCCCTCTTAAAAACAATAATGATACAACAATCTTCATTTTAAAAGTAGTAAGGTTTACTTACATTCAGTTCAAAGTATAATCCTGAAGGCAGGCTTTAGCTTGTAGTTACAGAGAAAAGTATGAGCTCATCCTTTGTGAGGGATGAACCCATGTGCTGCTGGCTGAGAGCCAGCACACAGCAAAAGCATCACAATGGGATAAGGTGAAAAAGGGTCAAGAGAGGAAGATGGCTGCATGACTAGCCTCTTTATAGGGTCCACCAGGGTCACGCCCATCTACCTGGTCACATGCAGGGGGAGGATGCTTCAGACCAGGTGTGACAGGAAGTCCTCCTGGCTGGAGCAACATTCCCCTGTGTGTTCACTCTGGGCAAACAGGAAATGTTGTATTTTACTGCTTATGTTACATCCCACATATAGATCTTGGTTGACTATGACTTGCCTGCTGCCACCCAGTTCATGGCTAATAGAGGAGAAGAAAGCTCACCCAAAAAAATACATTTTGCAACAGTTCTTCTAGGCAGACTCATGCATCTTCACCATCATTTGAGTTGCAAAGGACTTGGGGGTGAGCCCAGAGTAACTAACAAAGCTAATAGTTCAATCCAATCCGTACTGCTTATGGACTTGAGACCAGCTTTCAAGTTGAGAGTAACGCCAGTAACACATCTAAGCATGCTGCTTATAGTTCTGAGAAAAGAGAATGAGCTGAACTCCACCAAAATGGAATATAAGGTAGGGGCAACCAGTGCAGTGCCATCCAGATGTTGGATTCAAGTTATCACCATCTCTGACCACTGCTTATTTTGGTGGGGACCACCACCAACATCTGGAAGACACTGCTTTTGTCACCCTTGTTTTAAAGCATTAAAACGATAGGTTTCCAAAGAGAAACCTTTTGACTTAGAAAACTCGGAATAGCATTAATGAAGAGGGGGGAAATGAACTGTCATTCCTACACTTCGCTCCATTTTACCCTTATCCAGTTTTCCTGGGCCCTCCAATTAATAACAGTGGCAATTGTAAAACTTTCATGCGGACTGAAACTTGATCTTCAAGATATCCTACTGTTCCATTTTCTTGGATGTCACTCAACTTTGAAGTCATACAGTGAGATTGCAATACAATTTGTGTTTACCCGTAGTAAAGATTTAGTGAAGAGTGCACTTTCCAGGTGATAAGATGTATAATGAACCTGCCTGTAGTACATTTGCAATGCAATTTCTGTGCACAGTTGTTGAAGAAGAAGAAGAAGAAGAAGAAGAAGAATGGAAGCATCTCATTTTAGCATTCTGTACCAAGCAGAATCATTTTCCCAGTTGTTCTTAACTTGCTACAACCTTTCTCCTCCTAAAGTGTTTATGACACAAATCTCTGTGCTCAAATGGGATCACTCATATCAGTGAGAGGTACACTTCTTGAATTAGGAGCAGAGTCTGTAATGCCAATAGATCAACCGTATACATATACATATATTTAATTTCTGAAAGTAGTCGTTTTAAATGACTCATCTGCCGTGAACAAAAGGCAAGGAGGTAAATGTTCCATTAAAAACCACTGCCAACATAATTTTACCATTAGCTTTTATTCGCCGCCTTTATTCCACCACTTTCCATTAGCACGATGATTGCCTTAATTAAAGTCCTTCCATACGCAGAGATAATCTTTCTGAATGGCTTTCAGAGAACGTGAAATGAAGCCTCTTGTGCACTTTGAAGATAAAACTAGTTCAGCTCTCTCACAGATAAGGCCAGATACTGCAATCACAACATTGTTTTCAAGTGATCTAAGTGGCTTCAGTTAGGGCTACTCAATAGAGATTGGGTGCGTGGGTGATGGAATGGGTTTCAGCTGAGGTTTTGATAGTGTTACTTTTTTCTTCTTCAAGTGTCTTGATTCTGGAAGTCATTTGAGAATAGGGAGCAGCCATTGGAGAACCTAGGGCCAAATCCAGACCTCTAAGATGTACCATTGCTGCATGTTCGTTGCCAGCTTGGAGGCAAAAGTAATGTGGAAAGGAAGCAGTAGCAATGGGGTTATCTGGCATTACATTTTGGGGTGGCATCCATAACTCACTCATAAAACTGATTTCTTACTAAGGTTTAAAATATTGAGCATATGGCTTTTATCACTAGGGTTTTTGTGGGACTTCTCTTTCCCACTGAGGAATGTCTTTGGGCGGTAACACTGTACCAAGGATTGCCTAAATGAGCGTATCCAATTCACACTTTTCCAGCAGCATCAAAAAACCCCATCGGAACACCCCCTCACCAAATACAAGGAGTGGCATTCAACTACGTTTTGTTCATAGTGTTGTTGTCGTTGTTTAGTCGTTTAGTCGTGTCCGACTCTTCGTGACCCATGGACCAGAGCATGCCAGGCCCTCCTGTCTTCCACTGCCTCCCACAGTTTGGTCAAACTCATGTTGGTAGCTTCAAGAACACTGTCCAACCATCTCGTCCTCTGTCGTCCTCTTCTCCTTGTGCCCTCAATCTTTCCCAACATCAGGGTCTTTTCCAGGGAGTCTTCTCTTCTCATGAGGTGGCCAAAGTATTGGAGCCTCAGCTTCAGGATCTGTCCTTCCAGGGAGCACTCAGGGCTGATTTCCTTAAGAATGGAGAGGTTTGATCTTCTTGCAGTCCATGGGGTTCTCAAGAGTCTCCTCCAGCACCGTAATTCAGAAGCATCAATGCTTCGGCAATCAGCCTTCTTTATGGTCCAGCTCTCACTTCCATACATCACTACTGGGAAAACCAGTAGTGTTCATAGTAGACCCATTCAAACTAGTAAACATGACTAAGTTAGATCCATTCATTTCAACAGGGCTACTCTTAAGTACAATTTAGTTGAACACCACCCAATATGTCAAGGAGGAGAATTCTAGCTTAATTTTCTTTTCAGCATCCTGTGTCCTATACATAAGAAATTGTGTGGATTCATGTGACACACACACACACACACACACACACCTGGTAATACAGTACAGATAATACCTAAGTTGTGAGGGCTATTAAAATAAAAGTTAAGATTTGGGTGGTCTTGGTTAAAATGATCGCTCCTAGCTCCTCAGTAAAGTGGAATACAAATTTCCTTCCTCATGGGGAAATTGTGTAGGGAAACAGTGAAGTCTGCAAAGAATGAAACAAATAGTGTACAAAATAGAATTTTATTTCATTTTAAAATACATGCAAAAATGCATATTGAGAGCAAAGTGCTTACAAAAAATGCACACTGTGAGGTAAAATGCATATCAAGAATGCACATTTTGTGGAAAATGTGTTCAATTTTTCACGATGTATTTTTTAAATTAAAAAAAAATCAGATTAACGTGGCAATGGGAGGGCAAATTTAAATAGAGACAGAGTGGAAATGAACTGATGCCTCTCTCTCTATTTGTTTGTGGGTCACTTTAAGGCAGTGAGAATCAAGTACTGACTCCCCCAACCCCTTTCTCCCTTTTCAAAGAGATCCTCTGGGGAAACTAGTGACTGAGTTCAGTCTTTGTTAAATATTATTTTCCTTTTTCACAGAGATTGTGCGGTGGTTGCACTCCAAATCCCTTGCACCCAAGTCAGAACTTTTGCCACTGGACTACACAGGCTGTCCTTAGATGTTTAGCTTTTGAGCCTCCTAGTTTGAGAATGTAGCTTGGATAAGTCATGGTGGTCTATAGCAGGCTCAGTGCCACTCGCTTGACATTACTGTCACACTTCATCAATGGGGAGATATTTGGCATATATGGTGCACTGAGGCAGGGGAGGGAGGCCAAAGTAAACCTTGAAAACAATTGGATCCAAGCCCTTCTCCTGATCCTACAAGACAAGTTCTTGATTACTTAGTAGTTTAATTAATGTCAACCTTCCCCAGCAAAGCTCGTGGGAGCAATCATTATGCTGACACAAAACCATTTTAAATGCTTGGCATTCTACCAATCACAGAGCTAAGCATTCCCATGGCAGATTGCACGATCCCAGAGCCAGATCTGTGCAAGATTTTTACAAGAGGCTCTTTAGCAGCACCAATTCAAAAGCTTTGCATTTTTATCCTAAACATTACAAGGCAATTTGGAAGTTTTCTCTTTTGAAATGTTTACTGCAGCAATCCATGTTGTTTGGTTTTAATTCTTCTCAAATCTTTTTTTAAAAAGTTTGATTGCCTCTGTCCTTTTGAACAATAGCCATTTTCATTTTACGTGAATAGTCTCTATGAGCAATGAGACACCACCCACTGTGCGCAGAGCCTAACACAGTGTTCCCCAAATTTCTAAGAATTGAAGGACCAGCCCTACCAGTAGGCAGAGGGAAGCAGCTGCCTCAGGCAACTGATTCCAGCATTCATTGGGAGAAGTCATGTCCTCTAAATGTATATGGTATGTACACATGCAAGAGCAGCAAACTGTTGCCAACGTCTTGGACCAGCCTTGCCTGATGAACACCTGGATTTCTTTGAAGCGTAGAATAGTAGAGTTGGAAGGGACTGCAAGGATTTACTTGTCCTCCCCCTTGCAATGCAGGAATCTCATCTAAAGTATCCATGACAGATGCCCGTCTAACCTCTGCTTAAAATCCTCCAAGGAAGTAGAGTCCACCACCTCCCAAGGGAGTCCATTCCACTGTCAAACAGCTCATACTGTCAGAAGGTTCTTCCTGATGTTTAGTTGGAATCTCCTATCTTGTAACTTGAAGCCATTGGTTAAGAGTTCTGCGCTCCAGGGCAAGAGAAGCTCCATCTTCCATGTGACAGTCATTTAGATATTTGAAAATGGCTCCCATCTCATCACATCACATCATATATCACACATCACATATCACACAGTATATCATATTATATCATATATCAGTCTCCTCTTTCTCTTTTTTTAAAAAAATAATTTTAATTAACCGACCAATCAAATCAAATCAAATCACATCACATCACATAAATTCCGAATTACAAAGCTGAACTTTAAATTTTTTGTTGGGGGTACCCATATTTCAAGTTCCGAAGGGGATTCCAATCATCTTCTTGCTGCTGCGTTAATATCCACAAATCTGTCCAAATAATGTTCATAATTCTATCCAGTCCTATCTTGCTGTTCCCACATCTCATCTTATTCATATATTTTTCTTTTTAATTTGTGATCTCTTCTGATAATCTCCTTAAGCAGGTAAACACCAGTTATAATCCTGTGTGAATTTTTCCGTTCATCCAATCACCATATCGAGATGGTTTCCATATATCATCACTTCCATAAATAAAAGCACTCTTTCCATCATTAATCTTCGCAAATCTGTCGCCTTCTTTAGTCCCTCTGAGGAGGCTCACCCACAATATGAAAACAGATCCATTCCTCCTCCCAGACATAAGTCTTTCGACAGAACTTGCCAAAATGGCGACGCTGTTTTTTACTGCGCCTTCCCAAAGCTCTTATACTTTCCACGATCTCCTTAAAACTTGCTTTTGGTTAGAAAATTATCTCCACACAGTCTTAAATCATCAGCTTAGGTCATTTAAGCGGCATTTCTGACTTGTGTGTGGGGGATTCTTGGTTAATCACATAGAGAAAAGAAAGGAAAGTCCCCCCCCCCATCCAGTCCCGTTGCCGACATACCGAGCCTTGGTGTGTCTTCTCATGATATATTCCTGTTTATCCGACCCGTCTTCTTTCTCAGAGATCTCTTCAATTAGCAGTCTTTACTCCCCATTCTTCCTTGAAATATTTGCATTAGCTTCCTCCTAATTGTTCCTTTTGAAGTTGCTGCAGCTGGAGGCACGAATCAGAGACAGCGCCCAGGAGAGCCGAAGTCCACACAAGGGCTTTCTGCCTAGTGCCCCCACCCCCTCGAGTTCGGGGGTGGTATAGGGCACAGCAGGCAAGTGCAGTCCCCCCCCCCACTCGCTTGGGGGGGCCGGGAGGCTGCTTACTCCCATCACAGCCTCTTAATTACCTCGTGTGGGTCGGAGAGATGTTATTGTCGGCCATCTTCCAATGCGCCCCTAGTGGCCCCCCCAGTCTCCTCTTTCTCAGGCTAAACATACCCAGCTTCCTCAACCGTTCCTCATAAGGCATGGTTTCTAGACCCTTGATCATCTTGGCCACCCTTCTCTGCATATGTTCCAGCTTGTCAATATCCTTAAATTGTGGCACCCAGCGCTTTCCCCATCTCTCTTCTGAATTTAAATGAGAGGTAGACTTACAATTGCATGCAAAAAGGTTTACAGTACTTTGAAAATGTGTAAGAGGAAGAATTGCCTTCCTTCAGGAAAGCCAGTCCCTTATGCCATGTTTCAATTTTTTGGGGGGTGGGCAACACTTTAAGCTGCCTCTTTGCCTTGTCTAGGCAGATTTCTGTTCAGTAAAAAATGGAGAGGAAAGAAGACAGGATCCTGTGTAATGTGTATGCCACAAACAGGAGGCTTATCAAACTTCTGGTGGGCCAGAATGCATGGGAAGCATTCGGCATGGTTGGTCATGGGATGAGCGCAGAGGTAAGGTGGCCATGTGTCCTACTTTACAGGAGAAAGATTGAAGGACTGTCTGATTCAAGTCTGTTTTACAGAAAAAGAACCATAAGAAGTAGGGGTTTTAAAGATGCCCATCAAGAGTTGGGCTGTGTTTCCGTTTGAAATTACAGTAACAATGTCTGATTGCATTTATGCACGCAATTTAACATATGCAAATACCACGCAAATCTTCACCCTCTTTTTTGTCAGCGCATTGGGAGGGGGGCGGGTAGCAGGTGGAGGGAAGGGATGGGGAAACATTCCTTTCATGAACAACTTCAGTTTACTTACCTTAGGAGCCAAGCCCTGTTTTAGATTTTTTTTTAAAATGGCAACAGCAGTCCAATGTTCCATCCTGCTTTGTGGGATGGGGGTGGGGTGGGAGTGCAAGGCAGGGCAAAGGGGGAGGTGGAAAACTTTTCTACTGCAAACTTCGTTCCGTTAACTTCTCTTAGGATCCAAGTCATTGTACTTGTGAGTGTCGAAATGCCATCCCCAAGCTGCATTGGCCATAGCTGACTTTGCATCCCAGGCACAGAGCCAAGTTCCTACTTCCTGGTGCTGCAAGTCAGGCTGCTCCCTAGGATCAGGGCACCAGCTAAAATTGTCAGTATGTCTTCTTTTCCGGCTCGCTCAACCCAAAAGTGATTCAGCTATCTCTGGGAACAAAGCATTTCGATGAGACATTCGCTCTGAAAATGTCTATCCCTGTCTGAGAGAGCTCCTGGCAACCAGAGATAGGATAGGAGCCCTTTGAAGACAACTTTCTGAATGCCATCTGAGGGAGAGAAACAATAGGAATAGCGAATAGGGAGGAATAGGGAGAGAGGCAATAGGAAAATAAGATTCAGGGGTTTCTTAGCGATGCTACCACTTCAAGAAACATGGGCCTAATTCCTAGAATAGGTCTCGTTCCTTGAAAGCCCAGAAGGACAGCCACTTCCTAGAGAGATAATGTCTGGTATTCGTCTCTCTCATGCGCAAACACACCCACACCAAAATGTTTGTTTTGACAAATAGGTTCTTTTCCTTTATCTCTCTTTAAACAAGGGACTTTTTTTTTAAGGGCTTACAGATCTGAGCCCTCTGAGAATTCAAAACTTCAGTTGTTTGAGCTTGTGCTAAGTATATTTACTCAAGATTTACGACAAATCCCACAGAACAACAGAGAATGCTAAATACCTTTCAAATAGGCTGGAACTTAGCTAAATACCTACGAACTTGCAGTCTGCGGCTTCCTAGGAATAGGCACCGCTATTCTCAACGTAAAAACAAAACAAAGGAGGACTTGAGGTCAATAGAAAATTTGAAAATCCTGGTCTATTCACGAGACACTAGACAGTCCTTTTAAAGTGACATTTCAAACAACTTAGACCGCTTGTGACAAAGGCCTTTCTCCTACCCCTCCTCCTGATTTGTAGCAACTTTATTCATTGCTATGTTCTATCCCTCCTAAGAAAATCCTGCCCTTCCCTATTGTGTGTGTGTGTGTGTGTGTGTGTGTGTGTATACACTAGCCCAATGAAACAGATTTTTGGTTAGGATTTTCTTCTCAGAAACAATTCGGACAAAATTTTACTGTAATAGGCTAAGCTTGGAATGTGTAGAACTGCTTTTCTTGCACAAAATGCCATTTACAGGCCTGTCCAGCACAATGTGCCATCATGTTTTTGGAAATTAGGATCATCCTTGCCATCCTGGCTTTTGAGATGCAGGTGGAAAGATACAGAATCTCACATCTTTCCGCTTGCAGCTGACAAGGGGAGGTCTTTTCAGCTACCCAGCGCCTTTTTTTCCTGTACCCCTCTTCCCCCCCCCATTGTAATAATTGTGATTTTACCTGTTTCAAATAAACAAATTGGAGTGACGTTTTATAAATCTGCCAGCAGCATCCTCCCTTAAGACACAGGTGTCCTTTACTGTGACATGGAAAACATTGACAGGTTTGCTGGATGAGAATTCGAGGTGGATGAAAGCACTGTTAGACTGGTGCTTAAGATGCGTCATGAAACAAACGCTTCTGTACTCAAGCAGAATAACTTCTCCAGTTCTGAAGATTCTCTATAACTATTTCAATTAAGTGAATAGCCACTGTTTATACTGATTTGCACAACCAAGACTGTACAATTAACCAAATGTGAACTTCATCAGAGACTGTGGATTATGCTATTCATATCATAATTACAGAGGAGCTTAATTGCAACTCATTGGATGTTGGATAGCAGCCATTATAACACAGAGTTGATGTGCCTACAATAAATGTTCTGTTTGTAGCATGCTGAAAATCACCGAGTGCCCAGGTCTCTTCAACCTGCCAGATGTTCTGTGCAGTGTATTGTTTTTCAAGCATTGTTAGCTCCAACCAATTGGCGAGCCACGTTTGCCTGCTTTCGTGTTGATACAATGGCTTAGCTTCATCCTGATTGCCTTGACTGTTTTATAGATTTTTTTAAATAAAAAAAATCTTTCCCAATATTTCCTTTCGAAGGTACTTGTGGTGTTTTATCACAGTCATTCTACACTTTGCCTTCTGCCAATTGCTTTCTTTTCTTTCTTTCTTTTTAAAATATGAGAATCCCCACCTTCCCACTCCAAGAAATATTTTGCTTCCCATGAAATTCTTCTGATGTTTTGCCCAAGTTGAAACCCCCAAGGAGCCTCAAATTTCACTTTATGCAAATTTAGTGATTGGACATCCAGAAAGCAAATGGGGAAAAAAGTTTAATTGGCATGTCCTTTCCCCTGAAAATAATGTACGAGCATGTTTAGACAGCCTTGTTAGCTTGTGTTCAGCAGCCAAACATTGCTACTAGAGAGGTTCTTCTTTGAAATCAACAGCCCTGTTCAAATGTAATGGGAAAACAGGGATTCCACTATAGGAATGAACTATGGCAGAGGTACCCAAGTGTGGGGTGGGCGTGGGGGATGAGGCAAAAGAGCCCAATAAGGATTTAGCATGCTCAGTAGTTCTATCGAATGTTGAATGTCAGTTGGAAAAGCAAAATTCAGAAATGGTGATGGAGCAGCCTACTTCAACTCTTTGCCCCTTATACTGTCCTGTTGACTAAAGCCACAAAGAGAAGCATTCATGCTAAAATGTTAGGATAGACCTTAACATTTTGTTGCAGGCTCAACTTGTACATTGTCTTGACATTTTTTTACAAAAAATAATCATAGGATAATGGTATGAAGAGGAAAAAAATGAGGTTGCTGATCTGTTTGTGTAGAAACGAACTATGATCCAAACTCCACTTTAAATGAATGCTCAACAATGGTGGTGTAACATGGTTTGCTGGTGTCCGGGACAGGCAAGCTGCCAGTGCCACTGGAACGCACCCCTGAAGTGAAGCAGGGGAGTCCCACCTGCTAACACGGCCCTTGGCAGGTGAATCCCCACAATGGGGGTCACTCCTTTCCCATTTCACTCCATCCGTGCCCACTCACTGTGGGCCTGGGCAGCTCCTGCTTCTGACTGGGAAGTGCAATGCTCCTGCTGCCATCTGGGAAGTGCAATGCGCCAAGCAAGGAACGAGTGCCTCCACGATTGCCAGCCTCTGCCAGGGATGTGGTAGCAAGACGAGGTCAGTTTGGGCTCCAGGGCTCAGAGACCCCCCACCTGTAGGCATGAAGGCAGGGAAGGACAGGGATCTAAGGAGGGGGCTTGCCAGGATGTGCCTGGGCAGCAGCAGCAGCCCTCAATGGGCTGCTCTGTCACTTTCTCTGGGGTGAGACAGGGATCCCGATGGAAGCCAGCACTTGAGTGTGAGCACTTGCTTGCGTCCCTTCAGAATTTTGCACCCAGGGCCATGGTCCACTGCTTTCCCCATGCTATACCACTGCCCAGCAATTATAGGTGTCATTTCCCAAAAAAAGCGCTGAAGTGACGGCATTTTTTATTACCCCTATAGTTTTCTTGACCACAACACACCTTTGCTTTAACAAATAATATTCAACAGCTTTCTCCCTTTCCCTGAAACTGGCAGGTGCTTTAAGGAATACCTGGGTGTTTACCTGAGCCATCTCTAAGGACAACTGCAGAAAATATAGAGATGCAGGACATGAAAGGCGAATCATTTGCTTGCCTTATTAGCTCATTTTTCAGAGGAATTGACAGGACAGCTGCCTGTTATTACCACGCACCCCAGGAAATGCTTAACTGCCAAGCAGTAAGGAGTTAGGGAGGGGATTAGAACCAAAATAGAATCTCTGCACCTGGTCATCATACAGCTCTCCAGACCATCCATAGTGAGTTTGTGAATTAGAACTTATTTGAAATGAAACAAAAGCCAAAACAAGCACTTTCCTGGCTATTAGTGATGATATCTATTAGGGAAATAGTCTGCCATTTTCCCCAAGGCTGCGGTTTTCAATGAAATGGTGAGGTTTTAATTTCCATTAGCTGCTGATTGGTTTGACCTAGGTCTGCAACGTTACATATTGTTCTACAACTGAATGTCAACTTCATGTATATAAATAGTGGAGTTCTGTGTTACCAAAAATAAGCCAGTTAGGAAGCATTTCAGGTATTTGGATTTCTCATTCAGAATGGATTACTTTAGTGCTTGTTAGCTATAGGTAATGCCGTCGAAATCAGCTTCAGTATGAGTAGGCTAGTTTGCTAGATCATTTTGCCTTCCCCAAATTATACAACTTACGGAATGGAGGTGGGGCTATGTCATTGTAGGAACTGCAGCAATATAGATAAATGCAGATTGGGCCTGATCCTTCATAATCTGGGGATGAATCCAAGAGGGTTTGAGTAGGAATGTATCTAAAATCTTGTGCCTGGCCTATTTCAGAATTTGCCGCAGTGCTAGGACTAATTTATACAGATACACACAACTTGCAGACAGTCTCTTAAACAAACTGCATACAGTACAATACGTACAGTTGCATGTGATTGGCTTGGCTGCCAGCTGCTGAAATCTCTGGAGCCAATTTAATCCTGATGTCAGAAGCAATTTTTCCCTGCACTTTGGGCAAACAGCCCACTTTGTAATCTCTAGAGACAAACTAGAAATTGTTGGTCACTTGCATGTCATACGGCGTGGAAGCAAACTTGTGGTTAAAGCTTCCCCTCCCGGGATTAGGAAGGTCTAAAGTTGAAAATAATGATCCTCCATAAACACAACAGAGCAACGGCTTTGATTAAGAAAACATGTGTAGCCCCTGAAGTGAAAGCAGATGGACACCACAATGACGGCGATAAATATGATCACTTTTGAAGCAGTGCAACAGATTGTGTCAGCACCGGATTTTAGCGAGAGTAATATTTTTTATTTTCGGCTGAGAATCCTCTGGACTAATGTATACTGCTGCCAAATGTGGGTCAAAGGAGATGAAAATTGAAGTCAAATTATTCTGCTGCAAACTCTTCCAGGAAATGTAGTCACATATTTACATTCTGAAATGTCATTTGCTAAAACATCTACACCCAATGAAGAGCATAACACTTTTGCTATTTCCAGCCCAAGCACCAGGGTGTAATGGATGGTGAGGCTTGACACCAGATCCCCAAAGTTCATTTATTAACTATTTTGATGTATTTGATTTTCCAGCTGTATGGGCAAGCATGTTCCCACCCCACCGGTAGACTGACTACTAAGGTTGTGAGGACCTACTGCTTAGTTTCTCATGTGCTACAGAGCAAAATTAAAGTCCTACTGCTGGTCACTGTAAGTGGGAGGTGGGGGAAATGACCAATGGAGGGAAGTTTGGCCAGTGGTGTAGCTTGGGTTGCCAGTGTCCGGGACTGCGTGAAGTGGGGGGTGGGGTGGGAGGGAAACGGACAGAGTATGCATGCGCATTCAAAGAAAAGAAGAGCCTTTCCATTGTCTGGAGAGGTCACTTCCTCGTTCACATGGAAAAGCCATTTTCAACGGAGCCTGGTGACTGAAGTGCAGAGCTACAATATATTGAGGCAGCACTGGGTGCTGAAATTTTGTGCCCCTAACAATTTTGTGCCTGCCCCATGTTACACCAGTGCCTTGGAGCTCTGAAACAATGGTCCATTTCTGGGCTGAATTAAAATGCTGGTTTTAACTGATGAAGCGCTAAGTTGTTTGGGACAAGATTACACAAAGATTGCCTCCTCCCACATATGCCTACCTGGACCTTCTTTAGAGGCCCTGTTCTCGGTGCCTCTGCCAAATAAATTGAAGCATAACCCAGGTGAATAAAGACCTAGGTTTTTTAAATTCTGCTTTAATTGTGGTTTCAGTCTGGACCATAAGTTGTTTTATGCAGCCTCTTTTGAAAGGAAGTTCTTTGCTGTCTTGCTGTTTATTTTGGTGTAAACCACCCAAAGAATATTTACTGATGGATGAGCATGCAAAATCAGTCCAACAAAATATAGCAAAGGTGAGGAACACACATTACCGTTCCTAACTTGTGGGCAGGTTACAAAATTTCCACACATGAAGGGGGAGTGGATTGTCTATCCCAAGTTTACAACTCTTGAAATAAAACTAAAACCTGGGCTGGGTGTGAAGACTTTTGCATTATGTGTTAGCAGCAAGAAAAGGTTAAGTTTGGGCTGTCAGGAGGACTTTTAGAGCCAGGCCTGGGTTGTTTTCCTTGTTGGTTAGGAACTACTCTTCCAACTGCAGTTTCCAACTGCAGTTTCCAACTGACTATTTAAAACAAGCAAATGAAAACAGCCTGGGCTGAGACTGTGACTTTTAACAGTGCCTTGATATGTAGAAATCAGAAGGTAACACATTTTATAGAATTGAGATTAAACTAGGATTGGGCCAAGCTTTCAAATACTTAAATGTTCAGTTTGAATCTTATTTATTTATATTTTTCATTTATGAATCACTTCCCTTGCGGCATCCCAAAGTGATTTACAATGCAATAAAAACTTATCAAGAACAACTGCATGTATGAAAACAGTGAAAATATGTGTGTGTATAAAAACAACACCCTATCTATAAAATCAATTCAAAACTAATACAGATACCAGCTTTGAAGGCTTGTTGAAAGGTGAACATCTTCAACAGGTGTCAACCACCAAATCTTATGGGGAGTCTGAGGTAAAATATGAGGACGGGACCACTTCCAGTCTTTTGCAGTTGGGGTGCTGGTGGAAAGCAGTGGTGTGGAAGAAATTTCTATTTCTATTTTTAAAACATTTTTATTTGATTTTACAAATACAAAAGTATAAAAATCCAAATATATATCCATATACAGAGATTACTCCGAATCCCGTGACTTTCCCCCACCCCCTCCATGGGGTCCCATTTGGAACATTGGTGTGGAAGAAATTTCTAAATTGGGGTGTGCAACACACATCAACACTTTCCTGGTTCTACTGTGAAGCTGACCACCATATTTAGGCCATGTACACACTATACCAGGCAAAGGCAAACTCAGCCCTCCAGATGTTTTGGGACTACAACTCCCATCATCCCTGACCACTGGGCCTGTTAGCTAGGGATGATGGGAGTTGTAGTCCCAAAAGATCTGGAGG